GTATGCTAACACATATATAGGGAATCTTAAAAAAAAAAAAAGGTTCCGATGAACCTAGGGGCAGGACAGGAATAAAGACGCAGATGTGATGAATTGGGAGATTGGGATTGATATATATACACTAATATGTATAAAATAGATAACTAATAAGAACCTGCTGTATAAAAAATATATAAAATTTTAAAATTAAAAAAGGCACAGGTGTGGAGAATGGACTTGAGGACATGGGGAGGAGGAAGGGTAAGTTGGGATGAAGTGAGAGAGTGGCATGGACATATATATACACTATCAATGTAAAATAGATAGCTAGTGGGAAGCAGCTGCACAGCACAGGGAGATCAGCTCAGTGCTCTGTGACCACCTAGAGGGGTGGGATAGGGAGGGTGGGGAGGAGATGCAAGAGGGAGGGGATATGGGGATATATGTATACATATAGCCGATTCACTTTGTTATACAGCAGGAACTAACACAACACTGTAAAGCAATTATACTCCCATAAAGATGTTAAAAAAAAAAAAAGAAAAAAACCTCAGTGGTGTTGTGAGATAATAAGCATATATATCTGGCCTTTATCCTGGTTCAGAAACCCTTGCAATGTCTTTGTTACAACTGCTATGGACTGAATGTCTGTGTCCCCCTGAAATTCATGTTTGTAAACCCTAACTCCCAACGTGATGGTGTTTGGAGGTGGGACCTTTGGGAGGTGATGAAGGTTAAATGAGTTCATGAGGGTGGGGCCCCCATGATGAGATGAATGTCCTTATCAGAAGCAATCTGCAGGCTGGGTTGAGGGCCTTCACCTGGGACCTGAATCGGCTGGCACTTTGACCTTGGACTTTCAGCCTCCCTCCCTGCGAGAAATGACTTCCTATCGTTTAAGCCCCTAGCCTATGGTATTTTGTTTTGGCAGTCCCCAGCCAACTGAATAATAACAAACCCCTTTCCACCGTATCTGACCCCCGGGGAGGAGAGGGGAGCAGATCTGGAGATCGGGTTCAATCCTGTGGTCAATGGTTTATTGGATCATGCCTAGATACTGAAAACTCAATTTAAACGTTCTGAACGCCAGGCTTGAGGGAGCTTCCAGTTGGTGAAAATGTGGATGTACAGAGGGAAGCTCACACTGACCCCTGCGGACAGGAGCACCTGCATCCGGGACCCTCCTGGACCTGGCCTACCTGTTGTGCTGCTCACTTACAGCCTTTATGATAAAATGGTAGTCGTAAGTATAACACTTTCCAGAGCTTTGCGAGCCATTCTAACAAACTATCAAACCTGAAAGGGTTATGGGAAGCCCCCAGTTTGAAGCGTGGGTAGCCTGGGGACCCTGCTTGCAGCTGGCGTCTAAAACAAGAGCAGTATTGTCAAGTCAAGACCATGCCCTTCAACCTGTGGGATCTGACATAATTCTAGGTAGTTCACTGTCAGAATCGAATCAATCTGTAGGCCACCCACACACCCAGTGCTGGACATTGTCAGAGAAGCACACTAGGGGGAGGGTTCCAGAACTTTCTCATCTTCCCAAACTGAAACTCTGTCCCCATTAAACACTAACTCCCCATCTCCCTCCCCAGACCCAGTAACCACCATCCTACTTTCTGTCTCTATGGACTTGACACTCTAGGGACCTTATGTAATTGGAATCCTACAGTAGTTGTCCTTTTGTGATGGGCTTATTCCACACAGCAATGTTCTCAAGGTTCATCCGTGTTATAGCACGTGACAGAGTTTCCTCCCTTTTTAAGGCTGAATAATTCCCATTGTATGGATTAACACACTTTGTTTATCCAGTCATCTGTTGATGGACACTTGGGCCGTTTCCACATTTTGCCTGCTGTGAACACAGGTGTACAAACATCTGTTCAAGTCCCTGCTTTCAATTCTTTTGTGCAAGTGCCCAGACATGGAATTGCTGGATCACGTGGTGATTCTACGTAGAATTCTTGGAGGAACTGCCGTACTGACTTTTTTAAACCATATGGCTTAGGGGAGTCACATAACCTCCGATCCTGGGGGAGCTGGAAAGCCCTTGGGCCCCAGACAAGCAGCCAGATGATGAACGTCTTCACTGACATCTGTGCATCCCTGACTCCTAGACCAGAGCCGGGCCCGGGGGTGCTGGTGGGAGGGGGACTGCTCCACTCCATGGCGTCAGGGGATCCGCAGAGGAGAGTAAAGCAAGGCCAGCAGCAACCACAGCAACGGAGGGAGAAGCTTGGAAGGCAGGCCAGCCACCATCTCAGGACCAATGGCGACAGAGGTCTCCCCGAGGCAGCGAGCATCCCAGGATACCCTCGTTGCCTGTGCGAGCCTGATGGGAGGAGCACCACCGCGGTCGTGTGAGAGAAACCGACACCCACGGAGCCAGGTGACCTTCACCTGCGGATCCTTGACACCCTCATGACTAAAGGAGAAGGCGTCGTTATTCTAATGTCACAGGTGAGCAGCTGCCCCAGGTCACAACAGAGCCAGGCCCACACGTGTGCATAGGTGCATCGTGACCCAAGAGGGTGGGTAAGACGCCACCAGCACCTGTGGCCTCAGCACTGTCCTTCCTGTCTGGGGCTAAAAAGAACTACACAGGCCTCTTCTAAGCGCCCACGACAGGACGTGAGATCCCTCCCCAGGCTGCAGTTCCCGCCTCTCCTGAGCCACATGCACCTGGAGAGTCTCCCGAGGCAAAGTCGGCTCCCTCCCTCCCACACCGGGACCAAGGTTCCCTCGCCACAGGATCGGTTCATTTCCGCAGCGCACATTTCACTGATATCTACTCTAGGACAGTCATACGTTACCTTTAAAAACTTTTCTTTTTAAACCATCCTCTCTGGAGGAGACCCTAAAACGAGCAGGCGCGCCCCACCCTCTGCGGGGCTCCCCGGCTCGCCCCGAGGGTGGGATTGGTGCCGAAGCTCTCCTTCCCCCGGGAGGTCAGGGCAACTGAGTGCCATTCCTTTCCTGCTTGGTGAATGTCTGTCTGCGCACCCACGTGTGCACGGGGCCTGCGCGTGTGTGGGTACATGTGTTGTGTGTGCCCGTTTGCACGGGGGCGTGTTCTGTGCGGGCCCGTGTGTGTTGTGTGTGCACGTGCGCACGCCTGTGCGCAGAGCACGCCACGCCAGCGCAGCCGCACCGTCTCTCAGACCTCCTGAACCAGCTCTCCAGCTGCCCCGGTCCTCAGTTCCGGCCCCAGTTCTCTCTGGCCCAGGATGGAGGGAGAGACGGACCCGGTTGCTGGCGAGCCGTGAGGGCGGGGGAAGCACCGTCAGCCCCGGAGTCCTCCCGGAGACCACACTAGTCCACAACTTAGGCTGTCGTGGTGGAAATGCGTGTGATCATTACTTTCATCCCGTCACAAGAGTCCGACCGGTGTTCCCCGCGGGTGGGCACCATTCAGCCCTCGTGGGGCCGTCACGTGGCCTCACAAGCCCCCCCCCCCCGGGGTGAGGAAGGGCGGGGTCTCCCCCGACGGACGGGCAGTGCCCCTCCCCGCCATGGCCAGCAGAGGGCGGCGCAGGCCAACCCGGGCGCCTCCGCGGGGCCTCAGCGTCTGTAGGAAGAGCCTTGTCCAGACTTCATCCGCCGCGGCCTCGCCCCAGAGGAGGGGGTCGGTGTGCAGGTCCGGGGTACCTCCCAGCAGTGGACGCGGGGCTGTGGCCGTGGCCGGGGAGATGCCGCAACGACAGCGGCCGAAGGAGAACCGGCCGTTCTCAGGCTGTAACAGCCCTTTGGGCTGCCAACCGCCCAGCTTCTGCCTCCCCCCCAACCCCCCACCCCGCAGCTTCACCACGAGGAACCCCGCGGCCACACCTGCGTGGGAGGGGCGCACACAGGACCAGCCCGCAGGTCCCCCACGGCCCCTCACCCGGGCCTGGGGCCTAGTGACCACAAGCACCGGGGGCCCAACCAGACACGTGGGCTGCAGGGGCCACCGGTCAGCCGGGCAGCCGCGCGTCCAGAGGGACCAGCAATGTCTCACTGAAGTTGGGGGCACTCGGACTTTGGGGGCAGATGGGAGCCCGGTGACAGGAACTTGGGCGTAGCTCCTGCAGCTTGTGCCAGGGCTGGAGGCCGCCAAGAGCTGGTGGACACACACATTCTAGGACCTGCCAGCCTCCCGGGGGGTCTCCAGGCGGCTCCCTCCTGGGCAGCCTCAATTTTGGGGTGCAGCACACACTTCTCCAGGGTGCCGAGGGAGAAACCGCAGGCATTCCCTCTCCACACTGCAGCCTCCAGCACAGAAGCGGGGCCAGGAGGGGGTTCTAGCATCTGGACCGGTGCCTGGCTCAGTGGGTCTCGAATGACCTGATTACCCACCCTCATTTTGGGGTGAACCTAAGAATCTCAGGGAAGAGGGTTCTTGAAGAGTGTGTGGACCATACTCGTACATCAACACCAGGGTCCCCGCACGGTTCCCCGCACCCCAAAAAGTCACAGAGCTACCTGCCAAGTAGCACATATGTGCAATCAGTAAATAGCACGCCTTGGGCACTTAAAGGAGTCGAACACTAAACACTGTCACACGGGTATAGACGTGCCAAGAAGACAACTGGGGCAACTGTCCTTGGGCTGGGGGGACACGGGGACAGCCCAAAAGCAGCTGCCAGACCCACCTGAGATAGGAGGGGACACCCTGGATTCTCCCTCTGCCTGTCCCCCAGTCTCCCAGCTGGGGGGTCCTGACTCCCCAGGAAGAAGCCAAGGTACACGGGGGCACAGATGCAGGGGAGGTGTCAGGCCAGGGCAGACGTGACTTCTCTCTTAGTGAGTGAAATCTGACAACTATCAGAATTTACAAGTCTGAAAAATCTCCCTAAAAATATTTCAAATACTCAGAGGAGCATTCTTAAAGAAAACCCAAATCAGGCTAATGTGGTGGAAATTCTCCCATGAAGCTTTCAAAAAACAAAAACTCCTGCGTAGTTAATACAGGATTCTTTGCCTCTGAAACACAATCAGTTCCCCAGACTCTTCTACAAAGGATGCAGGAAGTCATACAGAAGGAGATTGTGGCAATGATTTTATTTGCTGCAAACACCAACGCTCATGTCTGGAGATTTGGGGACCTCAGGCTGCCGCGAGGCACTTCTTGATGAAGTGGCCCACCAGCCGCTGGGGCCGCTTTTGGTACTCGACCAGCACCTCATGGGGGCTGCTGATCTGGTCACCTTCCAGGCGGTTGAGGAGCGTGACGCACACCACGGCCGCTGCAAAGAGCAAACGCCAGGTCAGTGCAAAGAGCGGGATTCTAGCTTAGCTCACAGAGACCAGCGTCCAGGCCTCAAGGGAAGGGGCCGACAGTGGCTTCTGATAGACGGAGAACACGAAAAAGCTGAGGGGGCCACACTATCCTTTTCTGTCCTTATCCTTGCCTGCCTTTGTTCCCAGAGATTCCCAAACAAACCCCAGGACCAGCTCAGGGGGCCCTGCACTGCCTTGAAAGGCAAGGTGACGTGAAAGCTGTGAGGCAGGTATTCTGGAAGGCAGAGCTTGGACCTCGAAGGGTAAGGCCAGGAACTGCGGTGGATTAGCCCCAATTCAGAAATCCAAAGATCTTTGAAGGCCAGATTCATTGTAGAGTCAGCAGCGAAGCCTGCCCAGACCCGAAGGGGGGACTTTCTCATCTTTCTGGCCTCTCAGTGGCACGTGAATCCCTGCAGAGACACTGAGGACCCTGCCTTGGACCACGTGACAATCCAAGGAGGTCCCAGCGCAGGGGTCCAGAAACACGCCTTGGGGGCAGGGCGGGTGCAAGGCCAAGGCTGGCGTTGGGCGGGCCTGGGAGGAAACATGCTTTGGGGGCAGGGCGGGTGCAAGGCCAAGGCTGGCGATGGGCGGGGCCCGGGAGGAAACGCGCCTTGGGGGCAGGGCGGGTGCAAGGCCAAGGCTGGCGATGGGCGGGGCCCGGGAGGAAACATGCCTTGGGGGCAGGGCGGGTGCAAGGCCAAGGCTGGCGATGGGCGGGGGCCGGGAGGACGGGGGGGGGGCGGGGGGAGATGGGGGGCAGTTGGGGGAGCTGCGGCCTAGGTACCCAACCTCGGAGGCCGCAGGCGTTGCACATGGCGGCGAATACGGACGACTCCATCTCGATGTTGCGGATGCCGGCCTCGTAGGCCGCCCGCAGGTACTCCTGCTTGTCCTTCTCCGCGTAGGAGCAGAGTGCCCCGTCCAGGCGGCCTTGCCCTGGGAACGTGGAGAGCCGATGCTGGCCCGGGAGCGCCCACCTCCCATTCCACCGCCCCCCACCCCCGGGCACTCAGTAAGCGCCTACTGCATGCCCTCCCCGCCCCCCAGACAGAGATGCTTTCCAGCCCGACGGGCCCCGCCTGTCCTCGACCCACTGGCCCGCGAGGGAACCGGTGCTGAGACGCAGGCCCGCAGCGGTGCGGACCCCCGGGCGGGAGACCAGCGCACTCCTCACCTTCATAGAAGTCCAGGGTACACATGGTGTTGCCCACGACCGTGGGGAACTCGCCCAGGTCCGCGGAGCACCGCACCAGCTCCTGCACCAGCCAATCGTCCAGGTGCGTGTTCCGGACCACGCGCTTCCCGAGGACAATTTGCTCGAACTCCTGCTTGAAGCAGCCGTCCACCGCCTGCCGGGTGATGACCACGGAGCCGGGCTCCACACCTGCAGGAAGAAGCGGGTGTCCCGGCTGCAAGGGGCGGTTAGGGAGGGGAGGGCCCCGTCCACGCACTGTAACACTGAAGGGTCAGTCATGCCCTAAAAAGAAATAGGTAAGGATCTCTTTTCAGCACCAGATTTTTTTTTTTTCCTGAAGGTAAAGTAATGAATGCGTAGACGCTGCAGAAAATACAGAAAAGTGCAAAGAAGAAAGTGAGATTGATGGACGGCCCATCCCCACAGAGCAGCGTCTTTCCGTCGCTGCTGGAACTGTCTGGGGCTCCCTTTACCAGTATGTGTTCAGCTGGTCCCTGTTTTGTACCTTATTATTTCAGGTTTTGAGTAAGGAACACTGGGGCACCCCAAACCTGGCTCCTGCGGTCACCAGCTCTTGACACCCTGGCTTCCCTCCAGGACTGACCCACCGGAGGTCCTGCTTCCTGTGCCTCCCTGGACGTTTCCAAGATTGTACAGACGTTACTCTGCTCCTTGCTCTTTGGTTTTGTAATAACTTTGCGTGGGATTTGACCAGGAGCCTTTCCTTCTACTACACTACTACTTACTTTAATGTGATATTCGTTTTCCTAAACATTTAGGGAGGAGGAAGGAGCAAGGAGATCTGTCCCAGAGCCCCACGTCAGCCGCTCTCATGAAACATTAAAAAACGTGGCCATGGGCTTCCCTGGTGGCACAGTGGTTAAGAATCCACCTGCCAGTGCAGGGGACACGGGTTCGAGCCCTGGTCCGGGAAGATTCCACATGCCGTGGAGCAACTAAGCCCATGCACCACAACTACTGAGCCTGCGCTCTAGGGCCAAGAGCCACAACTACTGAAGCCCACGAGCCACAGCTACTGAGCCTGCATACCTAGAGCCTGTGCTCCACAACGAGAGAAGCCACCACAATGAGAAGCCTGTGCACCCCAAGGAAGAGTAGCCTCCGCTCGCCATAACTAGAGAAAACCTGCACACAGCAACAAAGACCCAACATAGCCAAAAATAAATAAATTTTAAAAAATAAAGTATAAATTGTGTCTCTACTTTAGTTTAAAAAACAAAAAACATGGCCAATTGCCAAGCTCTGGCTCTGCTTGCCCCCTGCATGTTCATCTGGACTTTCTCTCCCTTGCTGCTTTGTCCCTGTTCTGGTCAACGTAGACTCTCCTCAGGTGTCTCCCCACACCGAGTGTGGACGTGGAAAAAAGCTCAGATGGCGGCTTTCATGAACTCATGGGGCCTAGAATTTTCAAGCCACTTCAGACCTCAAATTGGAGGGCGCAGGACCCCTCCCAGTGTCAGCTGCTCTTCCTCACACAGGCCCTGCCCTTTCCCGGGATACCTGTTGGCCATTTCAGAATTCTCACATCTGACAGAAACGCTGGAGTCACCCAGTTCTCCCTCCCGAGTGGCGGCCCATGCCAGCCACCCACTGTTCCTATTTTGGGATTTGTGGGGACACCATGTCACACTGTTGTCGGGGGGTTGGGGTCTGGCTCTCTAGTTGATCTCTCCATTTTTATGGGGCAATTTTGGGAGATTCAAAATCCACCCTACTCCCTCCAGAATTCTCTCTCTGATTATTGATTTTAAAATCCCTCCAAAGCAAGAACTCAGGAAGGATTTGCTGGAGCTCCTCGCCCACGCTGATGCGATGTGCACAGCCACGAGTCCGTTGGGTCGATGGTATCACAGACTAAGTGTGCACAGCCTGGGAGCTCGTGGTCATTGGGGTGTTTTCCCGAGAACAACTCCTTTCAACTTTGAATTACAATCTGCAAACATGGATGTTAACCATCAATCTGTCTATATAGTGAAAAGAAAAATGAGATAACGTATTGAAAAGATTTAGGACCTACAGCGATCCTCTATCACAGCGAGAAAACCTAAATTTTCGAATTACCATAAATGCAGGGGAGGTCAGGTCTAGGCAGTCAGAAACAAATGCACAGAGGCCAGGCTGATGACAGCAGACCTCCTTCCAGCAGCTCCCAGCTCCTCAGCGGGAGCGAGAATTACTAGAACCCAGTTTTCCGCAGAAAAACCGGCCCAGAGGTGGGACATCAGAGTAAAACAAGTTTGCCTCAAAGACTTTGGCTGAAAACTCAACATGATGTTTAGCGTTTTACTTTCTCATTGCATCCTCTTCTTTCTTTGTTGTCTTTGCGATGTTAATAAAATTATGTTGCGAATGGGGGGCTTTTACGCAACTTAAGGACACATCTTAATTTTGTATTGCATCTCTCTCTTCCCCCTTTGATTTTCCTGTAGGTTTTCTCATAAGGTGCTTCACATCCTTGCAGGGATAAAGAGGAGGAGTGAGCAAAGTGAAGGAGAAAGGCAGAGAAAAGAGGGATTAGCAAGAATAAAAAGAGAATCAAGCAAACAAGAAGGCACATGTTGTATAATTCCGAAAGGACGGGTTTTCAGGTGGGCGTGGCCTGGTGCCTTTCTGTGCCTATTTCTGGGGTATGGGTTGGGAGAAGTAGCTGGACCAGAAAAAAATAACAAAATGCCTGCTGCTGCTGAGCGCTCCTTGGGCACGGCCCAGGGAGGAGCTCTGGGTCCCCACTCTGCCCACCGGGTCCCAGTGGCGCTCTGCACACTAACCTATCCCGCCAGAGGTGCCGATGCGGATGACGGTGACGCCGGAGCACCGGGCGTGGTACAGCAGCTTGATGAGCTCGTGCAGCATGATGGCGATGGAGGGGATGCCCATCCCGTGCTAGAACCAGGGAGAAATGCCAGCGTCACGCTCTGGTAGCACCTCTGTATGTTCTGTGCTACATTGCTAACTGGCGGTAAAGAAGATGAACTTCCTAACGCACACATAAAACTATGAACACTCGGGGAAGTGTAAAGGTTTGCACGACGCTGTCGAATGGATGGCCCCTTTGATCCACACCACCCGTGGAACAGATGGCAGCTGAGGACCAGAGGGCTGCTGTTGCTAGGTAACAGACATCCCCTGGCGTGGGAAGCCCCGCACACGTTCTCCCTTTTCTCCACACGCTCTGCCGCAGCCAAACTCGGTAACTGGCTGGTGGCTCCACCGCCGCGGTTCTGCCTGTGCCGTTTCCTCCACCTCCGCATCCCCAAAACCGCCCTTCTTCAGAGGCCCTCCCGGTGCCACGTCTGCCAGGAGCTGCCCCTGTGGCCAAGCCCTCTTTGGAGAACGTGTTCGTCCTGCAGTCTTACTTGTGGGAAGTGCTTCCATGGATTATCTGGACCTAAATACGTCTTACTCTTGGGTGTGTTGCGGGTGGTTAGTACCACCAGACGTCTCAGCTGCCCAGAGGGCTGGGCCCCTGTCCCAGCCTCAGGGGCAGCCTTACTGTAAGGCAGCACTTCCTCTAAAAATGTTCTCTGCAAAGGGAACCAAAACTGGAAAACGAGAACACCAGAGGTTTCTGTGTTCACCCATTGCTGAATCGCATGTGTGTGAAGTAACACAGGCGGATGGTGTGGGGACCACTTGGTGCCCGGCTCTCCTCGTGGTCCTGGTCCAGGCCGAGCACCATCTTCCCGGGTCTCCAACCCGGGTGCTCACTGTGTGCGCACAGCTGGGTGGGTGTGCGCGTGTGTTTGTACGTGTGTAGCTGTCTCTCCTGGAGACGGGCTCCACTGCCTCTGCAGCCCAGCCCCAGGCTCTCCTCGACCCGTTTCCTCTGTCAGGCTGCGTGCAGGGCGGGGATGGGGCCTGCAGAGCCAAGGGCTGAGCCCACCACGAGGGCAGGTACTCACGCTGACCGACAGCACCGGGCCCACTTTAAACATGGCGTAGCGGTCGGTGCCCTCACAGATGTCGGGATACTCTGCACCCGGGTGGTCAAGGCCCAGCTCCACGGCCATGTACTTGATGAAGGCTTTCATCCGGGAGGGGCTTCCCCCAACACACACAAACTGCAGACAGAGAACAGAGCCCCCATCAGCACAGGCACTGCACCCCGTCTGTACAGCGGGGGTCCTCAAAGTGCCCCCCGCCAGCGGCGGCAGCATCTCCTGGAACTTGCTAGAAATGCAGGTCCCTTCCCTGCCCCCCCCCCCCGCATCTGGGGAGCCAGTAATGTGTGCATTAAGGAGCCCCCTGCTGATTCTGACACTCCCTTGAGTTTAAGAAGCACTAGTTCATGGACTCACCGCTCGGTGCAAGAGGCCCCCACAGTGCAGAGCAATCAGCTCTACACAAGCCAGGACAACCACACCCTCGCCCTCTCCAGCAGGAAAGCCCAGGCTCCGCGCCTGCCCAGGCTCCGCGCATCGTGTGTACAGCAGCCCACTGCACTGGAGAGAGCCGGCGTTTGGAATAAGATGCTGCGGGCCCCTCAATGTGCAACCAGGGCCCCACAGCCCATCTGTAACATGGGCTTCTAACTGCTGTTTCACCGGCTGGCAGAGGCCCAAATGGCCAACCTGTGGAAAGAGCCGGGGGCCAGTGGGGGCTAGGGGAGTCGCAGCTGTGCGGTGAGCAGGTGGCTCTCAGAGAAGTAGAACCTTCATCTGCAAAGTGTCGTACGTGAAAGCGTCAAAAGAAAACCAGGTAAATAAGCCAGTCTTAAGGACTTGGTGATCAAATAGTTATTAGCCTCTTAACATAAAGAGGAAAAACTCTATAGCCTAGAAAAAACTACAGGTTAAACTTAAGGAGAGAATGAAAACGGAATGAATTAAGAACACACGGAAAGGAGGGGAAGGGATAAATTGACAGATTGGGATAGACATATACACACGACTGTATATAAAACAGATACCTACTAAGGACCTACTGTATAGCACGTGGAACTCTACTCCATACTCCATAATGACCTATATGGGAAAAGAGTCTAAAAAAGAGTGGATATGTGTATATGTATAACTCATTCGCTTTGCTGTACACCTGAAATTAATACAACATTGTAAATCGACTAGACTCCAATAAAAATTTAAAAACGAAAAGACAACAACACATGGAAAGTCGTCCCTCGGTTTGAAACGAACAGCACAAAAGATCTGGGTGGCTGACAGGATGTAACCTGGTTATGACTTTACGATCGCATGAGGCAGCCCCGGATCTAGGGTCACTGGCTTGTTTCAGTTTTCAATTCTAAACGTTAGCCCACTTTTCCACACGGGGATTAGACACTTTAAAAGTCCTCTGCGAGGATAAGTCAGGACCAAACTAGCTAAACAGATGGATGTGCATCTTAAATGAGAGACAGCAGACACATGCGACTGCCCCTCCTGGGTATCCCTTGCTCCCCTAGAAAAGGATTAGTGTCTGCTCCTTTCTAGTCTCTCAGTGAAGCATTAGGAAATTTATTTTACATTGTTTCAGTTATAGGAACCAATACTTCTTTGTGATAGTTTTCTTTCACTCAATAGTTCATATTCTTGAAAGGTAACAATTTGCAAAAATCCGATCAACATATAACTTCGAGAGCCTGTCCTCTGTCACCTCCGCCCTGTGTGGCGCAGTCTACCTGTGTCACCTGAAAGGGGGGTAATCTTGGGGCAAATGCCCAGAATCAAAACCCCTGCTTTTACCTTCACGTCTCCAAACATAGTCGGGAAGTCGTGCGTGCTGGTGCTAAGGCTGAAATGGTAGAGGACATCTTCTTTCATTGCAGCCACGTGGGGATTGCAAAGCTGTACAAAGTCGCTGTCCCAAAACAGGAAAGGAGGCAGTTTAGAGAACCAGCGTCCAGGGGCCGGCAGGACCACAGCAACACCCTGTGCCAGCGAGGCGCATGGGCCACAGCGGGCAGGCCGATCCCAGCCTGCAGAGGCTCCCACACTGTCTCCGTTCCTCCCTCTCTCCTTCCCCTCACCCGCTCTCCACACCCAGGGCTTCTTTGGAGGATGATCAGGAAGGACTCAGAAGAACACCAACCAGTGGTTAGGATTCCACGTTCTCACTGCCAAGGGCACGGGTTCAATCCCTGGTCAGGGGACTAAGATCCCCGAAGTCGAAAGGCCAAAAAAAAAAAAAAAAAAAAAAAAAAAAATACAAAGATCAAAACGTCAAATCATCCCATATAAAGCATGTAGCCAGTTGCTACCCAACCCAGGTTCATTCAACATATAAACTTGGCTTCAATTTAAAAATAGGGCTTCCCTGGTGGCACAGTGGTTGGGAGTCCGCCTGCCGATGCAAGGGACGCGGGTTCGTGCCCCGGTCCGGGAAGATCCCACATGCCACGGAGCAGCTGGGCCCATGAGCCATGGCCACTGAGCCTGCGCGTCCGGAGCCTGTGCTCCGCAACGGGAGAGGCCACAACAGTGAGAGGCCCGCGTACCGCAAAAAAATAAATAAATAAATAAATGAATAAAAATAATACATTTATCACAGGAAATATGGATGGATGAGAAGAAAAACAATAGCCTCTAATTCTCCCACCCAGAGATAGCCTTTCCAATCTGAGGCCTTTCTTTTTCGTTTTGTTTCACTAGCCAGCACTTCGCTGGTACAATGTCCAAAGGGAGTAATGAGACAAGACATCTTTTCATTTTGGTTTTTCTCGGTGCGGCTGCTCGAAACTTTGTATGGCTCACATTATATTTCTCTTGCACAGCACGCTGCTGGCCTGCAATAGGGGTTAGCAAACATTTCCCATAAAAGGCCAGATAGTAAATATTTTTTCCTTGCAGTTCATAGGGGCTCTGTTGCCACTTCTCAGCCCTGCTGTTCACCCATGAAAGTGACCACAGACAACACGCAAATGAGTGTGGATGTGTTCCAATACAACTTTATTTACAAACACGATGCCCAGGTCTAGATTGCATCTCCAGCCTTAGACACGCCTCCTTCCACAGCTGTGCCTTCCTGACTCCACTCACAGGTGTGCTGCCAGATGCCAGTGGCACAGAGGGAAGCAGCCATGGGTCCCCAGCAATCAAGACTTTCTGTTTCTTCCTTCAGAGTCACACTTTCCGCCCCGAACCCACGGATCACATTTCCTTCTCAATCTAACTCTGTGAGAAAAAAACCATACAGGAAGAGAAGTTCTCAGCAGCCTGTGATTTGTAAACACCTATTCTCTCTGGAGTCCATCGGTCGTCAACCGTAGATGCCCAGGCTCCAGACCGAGGGCACCTGCTTCTCTCTCTCCTGCATCTCCTCGCTTCCTACTTTCGTGCTTCTCACATTTCCCTCCGTGTTCCCTAGAATGGCATCCAAGTTAACTCACAGGCAAACAGTCTCAAAAGGCTGATGTAGAAAAGATGCGAACAAAATACTGAAGGAGGGTGCTGGTGGACTGGCCAACACCCTGAGCTCATCACTAAACTGGCAGCAGGACCACTAGCAGACTGTGCTATTGGCACCGGGGCAGGGATGCGAGAGTCTCCCTCAGGAGGGGCAAGCAACCTGCCCAAGCCAGAGTCTGCACTGGACCCCGGCCAGTCCTGACCAGGCTTACTCTCCTGGGGCAGGGAGGTCTCTTTTCAAGGGACCAAATCCAGTTCGGACAAACCCCAAGCTTTCCCAGAATGCCTCCTTGATCTCCAGACCAAGCTGAAATTCTAAGTCATAACACAGCCAGAGCATCTGAAGCTCCTTTAAAGACAAATATTTTACTGTAATTACGGTTCTTGTTCTCCTTCAGGATGTTATGAACAAAGAGTACAAAGAGAAGGGCTAACGGCCGAGCATTGGAACTGACGAAACAGAATGAGATAAAACAACTTTGTGTCATATTTCAAAATAGAAAACGTTTCTTTCCTCTTTCATTCCAGGAAAAGGAGAAGGAAATATGGCGTAACTGTGAAGACCAACAAGGATTTTAAAATATGTAAATTGGACACGTAACAGTGAATAGAACAAGTATTTTTGTTACTGAGGTATAGATAACTTACAGTATTGTATTAGTTTTAGGTCTCTAACATAGTGATTCAATTTTTTATAGATTAAACTCCACTTTTTAAAGGATTTTAAAATAACAAGTCACAGACATATTACTTGGAAAACTATTTTTCTAGTCTACACACGATGTCAAGTGACTTTACCTTGCTTTATTCTGTCACTTTATTCATTTAACAAATATTCATTGAGCACCTACTCTGTAAAAGAAATGGGTGAGATGCAAAATGAATGACACTCGGCTTCTGATTCCAGGAGTTTATCAGCAGGGAAGGGAAAACACGACTGACCATTAGACAAACTGGCCCAGACATCTTGCGCCGCATGCTGAAGGGACTGGCAGAGAACGAGGAAGGGGCTCTGGGGCAGGGAGGAGGGGGACCTTCAGTTGAATCGCACACAAGCACGCATCAGGCCCTGTGCCAGGCCGAAGGGATGCAGACAACAGCAGGGTGGAAGCGGTGGAAACCATGTCATTAGTGGTGGTGCGTATAAGTCATTCGACACCACAACTGCCACAGAGGCTAGGTTCTACCAGTCCCCGTCGTAAAGGCTCAGGGTCACACCTTTAATAAGAGGCTGTGCTCATGAGTTGGACTTCAGGGCTCCTCACAGGACACGCTGGCCTCTGGAGGGTGGACCATACAAGCTGGTATTGACCATAAAACGACGGAGGGAGGGGAAGATAATGACTAACCAACGGGGAGGGGTCACTGCTCAGTGGAGTCACATCCAGGGCACCTGACGCCAGGCCTCCCTTCTCCAGCCTTCGTTTCAACCACCCGCTCAGCCAGCCTCCAGGATCCTCAACCCGGGAAGGGGGGTGGGGCAGGGAGGGGCGGGGGGGGGGGCTCGGAAAGTGGGGACAGGGCGTGTTTGCTTGTCAATGATTGAAAGCACCAGGGAGGGACTTCCCTGGTGGTGCAGTGGTTAAGAATCCACTTGCCAATGCAGGGGACATGGGTTCGAGCCCTGGTCGTGGAAGATCCCACATGCCGCGGAGCAACTAAGCCCGTGAGCCACAACTACTGAGCCTGCACGCTAGAGCCCACGAGCCACAGCTACTGAAGCCTGCGCACCTAGAGCCCGTGCTCAGTAACAAGAGGAGCCACCGCAATGAGAAGCCCACACACCACAACACAGAGTAGCCCCTGCTCGCTGCAACTAGAAAAAGCATGCACGCAGCAACAAAGACCCAACACAGCCAAAAATGAATTTATTAAAAAAAAAAAAGAAGCACCAGCGATCCTACTAGTTCAATTAAAAATTCTCTCTGCAAGTACTATTCTCAGGGCAGCTCCAAAACTTGAAAATGGACCTCAGAACCCATGGGGAAGGAAAGGGGGGGACAGGTGTCCGTGTGAAATTAGGTGACCCACACGTGCAAGTATCCAGAGCAGTTCCCGAGGGACCTCCCAGAAAAGAACCAAGGAGCCCTAAGCTGGGTTCCCAGAGGGCAGCATACGGCCCTGGACATCATCAAGGCGAGAGGCCACCAGAACCAGGAGAGGCCACTGCCCAGGATGGGGTCTCCCAGGGAACCCCAGCAGAGGTGGGTGGGGAGGAAACTGGGAAAAGTAGTGGATTTCAAGTCCATGTAGGAATTGGGATTAAGACATAAAATTCTTGCTTCTCCAGTGATGACAAAAATTTGTATTTTAGGGCAATATGAGAACCTTTTAAATATAAAATTGTTCTCTGCCTGTTTCTGCCACCCCCCCCCCCACACACACACTTTACTGTCGATTGTGAATCTGCATTAACCAGACCTCCTTGGGAGATGACCTTCCTTCTTCATCCCGTGAGGGGCCATGACGACCCATGACCCACTACTCACTTTGTACCTGTAGATCTGGATTGTGTCCACTGTCAGCAACACATCATTTGACATACAACCCTTTGTCTCAAAAAGTTAGAACTGAGGGCCATAGTTAAAGAATTTCTTAAAGCCAGGGAGGATCCTCAAATTTTTTGTGAACGGATTACCAAGATGGGAGGGCACTGGTCTGTGGTCTGACTAAACTGACCAGAGCTGATACTCAGAGCTTGAGAGAAATTTTTTCTGGGGGGGAGTGGGGGATTTCTCCCCTAAGCTAAGTGAGGGAAAGTCAAACATTCCAACATACATGAATGGGCATGTCAGTCCTTTGATACACTGAGAAGGCCACCCAATTCTTTGAGGAATGAAAAACAGCTGCCCTTGTTTTACAAATCTAGTCTTTACAGGACCTGAGGTGTGCCTTCAGAAACATCTCAAAGCTTACCAATCCTTTCACCACTCCAAAATCCCCCCCTATTTATCTTCAGAGGCTTGTAGGCATTGAAGAAGAAAAAAAAAAATCCTGGCCTTAAGGGAACAAAGTCCTCCTAGGAGGAACTTGCCTTTCTCCCTCTATGCCTTTGAGATGCAAATATTCGTAATCTTTTTAAAATGCAGATTTCAGGAAAGCAACTCTTATCCAGAGAAAAAAACAAAAGGGGGATAGGTAATTTGGAACTTGACTTGTCAAGGACAGGCAAATCCTAAGTGTCTTCTTCATAAATATTAGTAAAAAGGGTTTGGCCCTCTAGACAGGCAACCCTGTTGCATCTGCCAGAAACCCAATCTGAATCCAACTTCTTTTGTAACTGAAGGGATTTCTATTATTGTTCCTGACTCAGGGCTGAAATTGCGGAACTTTGGGAACCATGGGGTCTCTGTCTGTGTGTCTGTATGTGTCTAACTGTATTGTCGATGTGTAGTATTGCCAAAATTAATTTGTATAAGAGCTCTATTTAATTGGCTTAAAGGAAGTTAGCTGCTACTTATATACATACCTAGAAATATAAAAGAAACTATCTCGAATGAATTTCAGAATCGTGTGAGCTAGGATTAATTTTAATTTCATTGAAATTAATTTTAATGAAAGCAAATGGTTTAATTAATACAGACATGTCTTTACAGTCACCAACGTTAAGTATAATACTCTTACTGTACCCAGGTTCACTAGAAATCACATAAGATCTTATTATTCCTGTTACAAAATTTGTCAGCAAGAAAAATGACTTGGTATGCTAAACTTTTAAGTGAATTAAACGGAAATGGTGAGAGTTTTGGTGTAAACTCTAAAGGAATAATTATGTTTTAGGAATGTCTGCTTAAAAATAGTCTCTCCGGATTTAGATAACTTGAAACTTTAGAGTTTTGTTAGATTAAGTTAAATGATGGGAATTCAATGACTATCCAGAATTTATTTCCAAATAAGATACTGAAACATTAATTACTGAACATAAGCTTCCTTTTACAGAGAAACTAAAGATATTTAGGACTATTAATAAAAATATATTTGGTGCCACACTAAGACATTTTCTGTTAGAAAAAAAAACCATGTGTTTTCTAGAAATGGTAAATAGTATGTATACGTTTGCTAATGTGTGGGATGCTAATGTTTGGGATGCTAATGTAAAAGACAGTTCATAATTACCTATTTGTTAGTTTCTGCTGGATACTAGGTTTTAAGGTTAAGAATTATAATATATATGTAACTAAAGCCACTAAAATAAGGGAAACATTTCAGTATGCAAGGAAAGTAGGAGACATGTTTTCAGCCAAAGAAGGTATGAGGAATGGAAATCATTTTGTTCAAGGGAAAGAAATTAATTCTGTCCTAGAGCTGTTTTTTTCTGCATAATCAATAAGGGACAAAAGACAGAACATTATGGAAGGTGCGTGGAAAAGGGAACACTGAGAAAAGAGTTCTGTGTGTGGTGAGGCTAGGATTGCATTGAATTGAATTAAATACATTTGTTATTAAGAGTAGCTTAATACCAAATAGCAAGACTGGAGTTTGGTTTTCTCTCTGTTAAGAGAATAAAGTTTTCTTGGAACATTGAGTTGCTTTTGGTAATGGATTATGTAAGTTTCTTTGCCTTTTTTTTTTTTTTTTTTTGCGGTACATGGGCCTCTCACTGTTGTGGTCTCTCCAGTTGCGGAGCACTGGCTCCGGACGCACAGGCTCAGCGGCCATGGCTCACGGGCCCAGCTGCTCCGCAGCATGTGGGATCTTCCCGGACCGGGGCACGTACCCGCGTCCCCAGCATCGGCAGGTGGACTCTCAACCACTGCGCCACCAGGGAAGCCCTCTTTGCCTTTTAAGTGAGCCTTTTGAGTGAGCTGTGTTTGCTTGTGAAATATTTTATTGTCACTTTGGTTAAGTGAATTAAGTATTGCTCCTCAGTGACCTATATCCTATTTGACCAAGTGTTTTAAACCTTTTTTGATATTTTGACAAACTCCCAAATATCAAATTCTCCCTGAAGTTCTTTTGACCTCTAGCTAACTTTGGGGTTCTTCAGAGAGGACCCCTGAAGCATCTCAGAGAGAGGAATATTAAACTAATTAGGCTTATTTGGTATGTTAAATTACATGGGAAGCATTGTCAAATGAGTGGTGATAAACCTTCTTAGGTTATATTGTATGGGTAAATATTATTAATATACATATTCTAGAAATTATATGGAGCTCCTAAGAATCTGGTATGTCCTGGTAAATGTTTATAGTCGTAATTCTAGTTCTTGTCTTAAAATGTTGTATGACAAAGCAATAACCAAGTTTCTTTGACAATTGCATTGTAATCAGATCTTTAACCTTGCTTTTTTAAGTCTTATGTCATTTATAGACTGCTTCATCTTCAAAAAGATTCATAGAAAGGACTTTTTGGGAATTCCCTGGTGGTCCAGTGGTTAGGACTAGGTGCTTTCACTGTGGGGATCTGGGTTCAATCCCTGGTTGGTGGTTTTGTTTTCCGGGTTTTGTTTTGTTGTCTTTTTTTGCCACGCTGTGCAGCTTGTAGGATCTTAGTTCCCCAATCAGGGACTGAACCCGTGCCCCCTGCAGTGAAAGCACAGAGTCCTAACCACTGGACCACCAGGGAATTAATTCCCTGGTTGGTGGTTTTTGAATCTGTTTTCCAGATATAAGGAAACTCTTCCCCTCAAGCTAATTATGACTTACAGCAATTTGGGTAAATTACTCCCTTGTAAGTGGAATTGAGACATTTATCTTTTCTTTCTACCTGATCTCTCCAGAAATTGGGAACTCCTGGGTTCCCAGTAGCTTTATCAGGTAATAAAATTAATTACCTGATAATTGTTAACTGAGGTCTGTATTTACTGCCTCAGACTCACTTCTCAGATGATTCCTTGTTGCTATGTTACATTACTGTAGAGTTTGTTTCTGAAACTTATCTCAGTCATCTATCTTCAGATGAAGATCACATGTGCCATGACCTGCAACCAGGGGATTATGCATACGGGAAAAGATATCAGATAAAGGACTCTTTACAGCTACCTTGGAAGGGACCATATCAGGCCTTCTTAGACTTCCACTAAGACCAACACTATATCAACACCATTCAAGCTAACATTATCACCAATATCACTAAGTGACACCATCCTACCTGGCCAATTTAATGACACCTGTTCTGAACTTGGCCATAAATACTCCTTTTCACTAGATGTTAAATATTGGGTAGCTCTTAACAGGACTCAGTAGACCTACAGAAAAGTTTATGGCCTTGGCTTTCCCTGGGTTGGTTAGGAAGATGCATAGTTGCTTTCCCTTGGGCTTAAGTTCACCTGCAGGTATCCTTGAAAACAACCCCTGCCAATCTGCCTTTAATATGAGGACTCTGGGTTTCTATCAGTTTTCCAGTGGTATGACCGTTTGGCCGAGATATTTGTTAACTCGTCTTATGACATATGAAGGATCAAATTTCTGTTCTGAATGATCATCTTCCAAATTTAGTAAAAATACTAGGAAAATGCTTTGGTTTAGGAGGATCTTCGCTTAAACCCTTACTAATGACATTAATTTTACTGTCAATTTTGATCACGTCTATTGCTCACTATAAATTAATGAACAAGCACAAGGTACATGCAAGGTTAAATTGGCATAACTTCTACTGGACAACTTGGAACTGACAGTCCTTGCCAGACATCTTACTAATATAACCCCTTAAAAGGAAAGAAAGGAGCAGGCTATTAGGTCTGGACATCAAGGGACATGATGAACCCAGGGCAGGTAAGCAACCACCCTGGCATCAAAGGAACAAATATTTGATCACCTAAGGCTTTCTATCAAAAGATTAATGATCAGAATGGGGAAATTGATAAAAAAGTTCATATCTTAAAATTTAAAATGAGAAAAATTTAAACATAACATTTCCTTTGTCCATTTGGATCTCCTCCCTTCCCTTTAGTGTGGGTTGTGCATCTGTACTAGCCAGACCTCCGTAGGAGACAGCATTCCTTTTTAATCTCATCAAGGGTCACAACTCCTTAAGAGATAACCTTCCTTCTTAATCTTGTGAGGGGCCATGATGACCCATGCCCACTACTCTGTACATGTAGACCTGGATTGTGTAAACTGTCAGTAACACATCATTTGGTATTATTACCCTTTGTCTCAAAAACTTATATAACCGTGCTTTGGCCTCTTATGGGTGAAGCAATGCTCAGAGCTTTCTGAAAAACTGTCTCCTGGGTTATAATCCTCAGATTGGCTCAAATAAAATTTTCCATTTCTTTCTTAGATCAACTACTGAGTAATTTTTTTTCATCAACACCAGCAATGCACAAATATACATAAAAGAGTGGCCATGTGAATCACATAGTGGAATAATGAAAAACTGCAAAGTAATAAGGAAAGTATTGAAAGGTCAGAACCAAGAGACAGCTGGGAAAGAAGCAGGGACTGTGACTCAGAAGAGTGTCCAGATGTAAAGAAACCCCACTGGACACAGGTCTGGGCACCCCAAGCAAGTGCCCAGACGTCCTTGGGAAACAAACATCCCAAGGCTACGAGCAGCGGCCCTGGCACCAGGTGCCAGGGGTCTTCAGCCAGCTCAGCTGTATATCCACTGAGTGGTCAGTCCTCCAGGCTTCAGGCTCTGACATGAGAACCAAGGTGTCCACGTGTGTCAGCTCTTAGAACACTGTGTGGCTCAAAGTCATCACAGCGAGCCCGAGCGCAGCAGCATGCAGGTCAGAGCCTTACTTGTGATTTCCAGGTTTCTTTGTTTCAGCCCCTGGCGAGGCCATCCCTCAGCTGAGGCAGGACCCTAGGAGAAAACAGCACAGAGTCTGTTAGAAGTAATAGTCAACATTTTATGAGCTTATTTGAGCGCACTTCGATTGGAATCAGTGGTTGACAAGGGAGCAGGGGAGCGGCAGACAGAGAGAAGGTGGAAACAAAGCAAGGACGCGGCTGATGGCTGCAGCATGAGGCCCAGGGGGCCTGTGTGATTGGTTGTTCATAGCATTTTGATTTTGTAGCCTGGAGGCATTTACAGCTTAGATTTCAGTGTGCTGACACAGGCTGCCTCGGCATTAGAGACACCTCAGTCCAATGGGCTCCTCGTTTAATTAGTTGAACGCTAGTGGGTCCCCCCAATAGGAACCAAGGTCACTTGGACCGTCAACAAGGCCACACTAACCTGTGGAAGGTCAGTGCCATCAAGAGGAACTCGACAAATTTACATCACATACACGTACATATATAAGACCTGGAGGGTTGCTAATTTCAGAGAGGAGCTGGCGGAAATGTGCCCAAAGCGAGCCTGGGTTGGCATCTCCTACTCTGGTAGAAAACCCTTCTTCACTTCCTGGTCCCTCAGACAAGACTGCCTTGACCCAACAGACCACACCTGGGTGCCTCACGCTTCTAGAATTTTAACTCTCCTCCAGCAGGCCTCAAGGACAGCTCAGGGGGCAGAGAGGGGCCCGGCAAAGGCACCAGCTCTTGAGGGCCTGCCATGAAGGGAAGGGAAAGACCTGGGGCAGGTAGGGATCAATCCCTGCCCTGGTCCCACTCCAGAACCAGAGGAAGGGAAAACCATGAGACACAACCGCAGTTCTTACTGGGGCTCAGCCACCAGAGCACTGACCCGACACCAGTGCCTGCAGAGCTGAGCCCGAGCACCTGCTGGGTGAACTCGGTGAGTGGTCTACGGTGGAGCTACCTCCCCCATCCCCAGGTCAGGTTCTCAACCTGCTACCTCACCAGCCGCTTACCAGAAAACCAGCCTCACAAAGCTAAAACCCAAAGCCCTCTTTTTGGAAAAAAGGGTTGACGGCCACTGTTACACTTAGATACTGACCATTTTTGGCAAATTCTGAAAACCAAAGCATATTGTCATAGTTGGGTCTGGAGCACAGATTTTCCTGCAGTGCTGCCTTGTCTCTCTTCACCTAGCCTTCATGCTCCCTTAGCATTTACAGGACACTTCTGAGGAAATGTCAGCCTGTGAGTCAACTGCAAATTGATTGAACCCAAGGAGGGGGGTTATGGGAACCTCCTCTCTATAGCCAGTGGGTCAGAAGCACAGGTGATAACCTGGACTTGTGATGGGGGGCGGTTGCGGGGGAAGGCGGGCAGTCCTATGGGACTGAGCCCTTAGCCTTTGGGGTCTGACACTGTCCCCAGGTAGACAGTGTCAGAATTGAGTTGGATCGTAGGACCCGCTGGTGTAGGAGCTGGTGTGGAGAATTGCTTGACGGTGTGGGGAAAACAAAGTAGAATTGTACTTGGTGATCAGAATCTCAGGTCATAATTTGCCTTTACAGCATCCGTCAGACAGACTGATGCAGACAGCCCAGCTTCTGAAGAAGTCTGGCTTCCAGGAAATGCAGCCCTCGGCACCTCCGCCCTGCAGCCAGCAGCTGCTATCCCTCTGGGATCCACCTCACCGTCTGCAGTAAGTGCAGACGTGCCTTCCGGCGAAGCCAGCCCACAGCCCTCATTATCGGCTCTCCCTTGTCCACTGAGAGATGAAGTAGGGCTTGGGGTCACCTCCTCCTGCAATCCATCCCCTCCTGGCTGCTGGCTCTTCCTCTGTGGGTAGGGGGTGGGGAGCTCAGAAAGAAGAAGAGTTAGAGGCACCTTCCCACGGGGCAGAGGCTGAATCAGAGGTGCACAGTGCACCCCAGAAGGTCCCCAACCCCTATTTTCCAGGAAAGGAAGCTCAGCCACAGAGAAGACATCCTGTCTGGCCTTGCAGAGAAAGTGTTGCTCTCTAGGCCGGGTGGCTTCCCCTGCCCCTGAACCAGAGAACCGTTTTCCCTGCCTCGGCCTTGCCCTCTGCTGCCCCAGACCTGGGCTCCTTCCCGAGTCTGCTCGGGGTCTGCTTCCCCTTGTACTCTCAGTGCCAGGTGATTGTTCCCCTCCAGGCTGCGACCCCGCCCAGCCCCCACCCCCAAAGTAACTCCTCCTTGGGCCTGAGCCTCATCCTGGGGACAGCAAGGCTTTACTGAACCAGCTCTGTGCAGAGAAAATCGCAGACTTTTGCAATGTTCTAATTGGAAATTTCCCCACTAAATATCTTAAGACACTTATAGGTGGAGCGAGCACACAGGCAGGTTGGCCTGGGAGTCCCGGTATAGTCACCAGAGCCACATTCCACTCTCGGAAGGACCTGGGTGTGGAGGATCAATGATATGGCCACCCCCCCCACCCCACCCCCCACCCCGCCCACTGAAAAAGGTCAAAGGTGGGGAGGAGGTGAACCTCTCAATTTACTTCCCCTGAGACCAGTTAGAGCAGGAGGGGGAGCCCAAGAGCCACTCTACTCTCACTGGCAGGCTGGTTGCTCACCCAGACTCTCCCTTACTCCAGAGGCCACTAGCGAGGGGAGCGGGCCCCACTGCTGTGAAAGGAGACCCTGGTGATGATTAAGAAGGGAGTGATAACCACGCAGGGGCACAGGGCGATGGTGGAATCTCAGAAGAAATTTTCAAGTTAAAAAAAGAAGTGCATAAACTTGTAGGCAAACGAATGGCACCAGTCATTCCTGTAAACGGGGAATGTTACCTCCATCAGCCACTGCAGCAGCCCCCATGGTGCACCCCGAGGGGACTCAGGATGGAGAAAAGAAGGACACTGGCCCTAGGTAGTGAAGATGCACATCAAAGGAATGATTTCCATGAGCCCCGACTCTTGCATCTTCCCATACACAGAATAGCACTGAAATCATTGAGATGCCTGCTTTTCTGATTAGCAGTAATCTTTTAATTACATGTTTGTTTGTTTTTCAGCAAAACTCCCTCTATATCCTGGCTCCCCCCTTACCTCTTCGGAGCAGTCCCTCAGAGCTCTCTGAGAGGCTGTGTGCTGGGCTAGTCCTCAGTGAGGCCACCGCATAAAACATACTTCCCAAATGTTAGGTTGTGCTTTTTTTTTTTTTTTTTTTCAGTCAGCAAGCTGCATTATTTTTTCCAACCGTCAAAGGAATCAGGAAACAGGCCCAGGGGATGCTGCAGTCCCTTTACCAACGAGGCCAAAGTTTGGTCCACTGGGGTTTAACACGGAGAGGGGGAGTCCCCCAGGGTCCACTGCAGTCTGTTCAACTCTGGGTCACAACTTAAGGCCTAGACAAACACTCGTGGGGGGATGCCCCACCGTCTGCTCTGCACGCAGAGGCCCAGGGCAGGCACTGTCCAGCACTGCCCTTGTGCAGTGTACCTAGGAGAGGCCATTCATAGGTGAGCTCATTCAGAGACTTTAGGGAATGTTTCTGACAACCGCTTTTTCAATTGTTTTACTGAATTAATGTTATCATGCACCTGGACCTGTTTCCTCCAACAGATAATATGTATGTGCATTTCCTAAGGACACACGCTTGACATCATACAGTGGACTTCCAGCCTGGACATCATCCCAGGACGAAACCTGTGGAGCATACACTTCGTTTCCTCTGTGGCCGAGAAAATCCAGCTTCCCAAACCCCATATTGAATTAGCGTCGCAGCGCTGTCCAACCAGGAAAGACTCAAGGTGGTTGGTCTGTCTGCCCCGCCTCAGCCCCTGTGGCTGTGGATGGAACTACAACATCAGGGGGGATTCGGGCACTTGCCTGGTACTTTTAGTTCACCTTTTTAGTAACTTAATGCCTTTCTAATTAAGTATTATCTGTAGGAGAGCAGAAAGTGCTAAGCATTGCACACATTAGTCATCCAATGTGTAAAATCCCCAACAGGTAGCTGTCCTGGCTCCTCAAGGTGTACCTATTCAGGTTAGAACCCGCACCCGCTGTGGTGTGTGTGATCTGAAGGGAGATGAGAAAGACCCAGGGCTCTGAGAAGCTGGAGTCCACTGCCGCAAACATGAGTGACCATGAGCTCCAATGCAGGTCGGCTGACGGAGAGCCAGGGAAAGGTGCAAACAGCGCCCGGAGGTCTATCTAGTTCAGCGTGAGGAATGGGTTGTTTCTTAGTGGTCCCTGACTAGGAATAGCCAGGAAAAGATGTGGCAGAGAGAGGACAGGACTAACGGTATTTACAACAAGGAGACGTGAAACCCCATGAGATATGTGGAGGGTGCAGAAGAAACAGCTCAGCCAGCTCAGCATGGGGAGATGGGATTCGGGCGCTGGTTAGGGGCCAGGTGCCCAGACAGCCGCGTGTCACCACCGACAACGTGACACCGTCCTGGGGGTGACCGGGGGACTCGGAAAGCCTGGAAGCAGGGAATGACAGTCAGAGGTTTGTATATTGGATCCACACAAAGGGCTCCAGAATAAGCCACTGTCACATAACAACTATTCTGAGCTGAAGACTTTGAGTTCCCGAAAGCCCGCACCTGCCTGAACCTAGAGACTTCCAAACATGTCGCCACCCCTCCTAGGAAAAAAACTCTTTTCTCTGAAAAAAACCCAAATAGATATTGTCCTATCTTATATCTCATCTCTTTTTCTAAGGGATCATTTGTCTCTCAGAAGTCCTCTGTGTTTCCCTAAGTGCCTTTTTGGCCCCACCCCCTTCTGTCATTTTCTCTGCCAGAAGTGCCTCTCTGCCTCTCCCCACCCCCTTTTTCTTTTTTTTTTTGTCTTGCGGTACGCGGGCCTCTCACTGCTGCGGTCTCTCCCGTTGCGGAGCACAGGCTCTGGACGCGCAGGCTCAGCGGCCATGGCTCCCGGGACCAGCCGCTCCGCGGCATGTGGGATCTTCCCGGACCGGGGCACGAACCCGCATCCCCTGCATCGGCGGGCGGACTCTCAACCACTGCGCCACCAGGGAAGCCCTCCCCACCCCCTTTTAAGATGGTATATCAGCCCCAAATTCCAACTACCTCCTGAAATCACATTTTTTTCTGAACTCTCCCATACACATGTAAATAAAAATCTGTCTTTTCTCTTGCTAATCTGTCTTTTGTCTTTTTAACCTGCAGTCCCCCAAGAACTGAATCTAAGAGGATAGAAGCTTTTCCTCCCTGCAGTTGGATTTGAAGGGCACACAGCGTGAGCAGAGATGCAATCAGAAAAGGAAAGTGTGGCACCTTCCACATCCAGGAGGCGAATCCAAAGGGCTGGAAGGTGGTGTCAGGGTGAGGCTGCCAGGGATGCCTGTGTCGAGTGGGAGGACAGGGAAAGAAGGCCACAGTGTGATGTTCCAAGCAAGGGGTGAGGTTGGACGTTTCGTCAGAGGCACTGGGTTCCTGCACAAGGTGCCTGCAGCCATCACCCAAGGCAGAAATGCTGGGGGATACAGGGCCGCCGGTAGGAACTAGGCGCCTGGGGCCGAGTCCAGTACTAGAGAAGCATGGACTTTCCACTCTGTCTTTCAGGGGGCAGCAGGGTCCCAGGTGAGCCCTGGTCCAGAGACAGGGCTTCCAGGAGAGCTGACAGCTTTCCCACAGCCCGGCCGACCAGTGGCGTGAGACCCCCCGACCTGGAGCCTGTCTCAGAAAGCATTCCTTCTAACAAACACTGTCCCAAGGGCCGCGGGTGTCCTAAAGGTGTCTCCTCTCACTTTCCAGGACCCCATGTTCTCTAAACAGGAGGGTTTCACTAGATTCCGGCCGGGAGGTGCCACCTCCCAGAGAACTCTGATCCTGGCTCTGGGGTCTCAGGCTCCTCGACTGCTAGGGGACCCGATGGGCCTACTGCCTGGGGCGCTGAGCCAATAAACACACCAGGTACTTCTGATTAAAGCAGGAGCCTTTACTGCTGGTAACAAGTAAGGAGACAGGGAGCTAGCCGTCCAAGCACCGTCTCCCCAGCAGCAGGATGGGGATGCTTTAAGCCAAGGGCACATGCATACTCATGAAAGGGCACACGTGACCTTCCGTGTAGACGGGAGTTCTGGACGCCCTTGCCCAGCGGACAACATGCCCCAACACACAGTGCATGTGCAAACATGGCGGCAATCCCACCCTTGGGGCAGATATTTTAGCATTAAAAAGAGGTTAAGGTCACTCTAGATTGACAAAATCCAGGCACCTGATTGTGGGTCCCAAAGGTCAGCATCACCATCCCTTAGGCACCAGGTAATCTGGTGGTTGGGCGCTTAAAGGGGTTGGATCCTGCAAAACAGCTCAAGAATGTGCTTCAGGCCGATCTTAAGAAACAGAACTGGGAGTCTTTATGACTGATTTCTTGTCTTTGCTATGGTGGCTTCTCTTGCCTGAGAACAGTTGGTTGTTCCTGAACTATTTGTTCCTTTTTAAATCATTAATTACTGAGAACTACTCTTTGTTTCCACCTGAGACACAGGAGGCCATCGCTCACCTTCCTCCCAACCACCAGTGAAGGGAACACAGTGTGAACCGAAATTCGCACTCTAGCTCTTAATGTGGGCCTGTCGGTGCACGTTACAATTTCTCTGTTGCCTGTTCTACTTCCATGAGATACGACATTATCTGGTTTGACCCCACCCCATCCTTACTTAAGACTGTCTCAGCAACACTAACTTTGCAAAATCAAAACACCCTCCAGTTGGTTTTGGTTTTCTTGTTTTGTTTTCGTTCTGTTTTATTTTAGTTTTAACCCACTAAACCAAATTCAGACAGGTGGGTTACTTTGGCATATAGCTAAGTGTGTAAACGTTTATAACTTGTTTTTTTGCTGTACGCGGGCTTCTCACCGTTGGGGCCCCTCCCGCCGCAGAACACAGGCTCCGGACGCGCAGGCTCAGCGGCCACAGCCCACGGGCCCAGCCACTCCGTGGCATGTGGGATCCTCCCGGACCAGGGCACGAACACGTGTCCCCTGCATCGGCAGGCGGACTCCCAACCACTGTGCCACCAGGGAAGCCCATAACATTTTTTTTTAAATGAACGTATTTCAAAAGCGAATGTGTGTGTGTATATGGGAGGAAGTGAAAGAAATGTTCAGGGTTTACCTTTAAGAAGTGGGAAAAGCTAGAAGTTTCACTTTCTGTTATATGTTAGTTTTGGTTCTTTTTTTTTTTTAACAATGAGTTTGTATTAATTTTTTGATTAACGAAAAAGTCCACTTGGACAAAAGCCAATGTAAAGAAAAACTACTTTGTCTGTTTCAACTAAAGTGTTACTTCAGTGCCCACCAGGGCTGAAAGTCCTAGAAAAGACTATAATTCATGCCCGATAAACCTGGCTGAATTAAGGAGTCTAGTAGAGAGATAACTAGAAGGTCAGTTTGGCCTCTGAAAAGGGAAAAAAGTCATGGAAGACTGGCTGAGAAGTGGGAGAGTGGAGCCCAGTGCTGAGAGCCTGGCAGAGTGAAAGCAGACAGGATGGGAGGGGTTGGCAGGGTGGGAAACCCAGACGGAGACAATCTTTTTATTCAGGGAAATCGCAAGTCTTTTAAAAGCCAAGGTCACAGCCAACGAATAGAACCGAAGGTCTCTTTGACCCGGAAAACAGAATAAGTGGGGAAAGATGGGCCAAAGTGAGGCCAGGCTAGTCAGGGCAAGGTGGCGGAGAGGCAGACAGAAGGACGGAAAACAGCCGAGGGGAGTGCAGAGCGCAGGGTCGCCACGCCTGGAGCCGGCCTCGAAGGCCTTCCAGGAAATGGCCTTGTTCTAACCTGGATTTCAGACGGGGTTTCTCTGCAATTCACCATGGGCGGGGAGCCGCCCAGGGCAGGGCTGACCTCTGGCGGGGAGGGCCAAAGACCGCCAGTCCTGGAGGAAGGGCGGTGGGGGCAGGGAGACTTCGGGCCGGTGACCTTGAGTCCCCGGGTCACGCCCCGACCCCGGAGCCGGCGAGACTGCCCCAGGTGCCAGTCTTAAGAACAGCCTGCTGCGTATAAGAGCTGCAGATGGACCCGCTCCCCGCTGCAAATCGGATTTGTGTCAGATACTCTGTGACTGAAGTTTCTCTTTTGACCTGCCGGACACCTCGACGCCAGTATTTTACGCTGTGACACTCTGTTGTCTGTTGGCTCAAGGCGCACACCTGAGTCCATTTGAACTCTGCAAGTACGGTAACACTCATTCTCCAAAACGTAATTTCCCCCTCTCCCCCGACAAGAAGGGGACGTTCCAAATGCTCCCGATTCCCTTCCCGCTCAATTTGGACTGAGGAAGACCTGCCCAGCTCCTCCACGCGCGAATCGCCTCCGCCAGGTGGACCAGCATCCGGACGGCGCCCTCCGCGCAATCCTCCCCACCCGCCCTCCCGGCACACCCTCCCCACACATCCTCCCCGCGCGCCCTCCACGCACATCCTCCCCGCGCGCCTTCCCTGAACATTCTGCCCGCGCCCCCTCCACGCACAGCCTCCCCGCAGATGGCCCCGCGTCCGCGAGCCCGAGTCGCCTCACCGGCAGGTCGATGATTCCTGAAAACAGGACGCTGGCCGCAGACACTTCCCTTGCAGGGACCGCCACGGGTTGCGCCCGACGCCTGCCGAGAGCTACCGGCGAGCGAGTGGAGTAGGGCCGCCCGGGGGTCCCCGCCCGCCCGCCAGCCCCTCCTCCTCTCCCGGGGCCCCTCCCCTCCCGGCGCCCCCGCCCCACCCCCGCCTGGTTTCTTGTTCCGCAGCGGGCGGCGGCGGATGACCAGCAGGTTACTCTTGAAACCAGTTGCCCCGCCCACGGCTTCCTGCGGCTTCCTCCCCGCCTGACAGCAGAGACGGGGGGACAGAGGTGACTACCCGAGGTCACCGCTCATGCCAGAGCCCGGGTGTCCGCGGGGCCCACCCCGAGCGCGAGCCGGGGGGCCGGGGGAAAGTGGCAGAGAGGATGAAGATGGGGAGCCCTGGGCCCCGGGGTAGGAGTGGGGCCGGGCAGGCCAGGCGCGGTGCGCTGGGTTTCCCTTTGGGACCATCCTGGTCCTGGGAGCACCCGGCACCCAGAAAGGCCCGGGAGGAAATGACTCATTCATTCAGAACCACCAGCTGAGGCGGCGGAACTGCCTCCGGGTCTCCTGCCAGCGCTGCCTGTCCCGTCACGTACCCGGACAGGGGTGGGGGGAGGAGGTGCGGGGAGCCCTGTTCTCTGGGGCGGTGGATGGCACTGGCCTGCTACCCCTGGGAGATGAAGACCTCCTTTTCCTTCCTTTCCAACAGGCTGCACACGAGCCAGAAAACCAAATACCAAAGACTTACCTGTTTGTTAAGTTACACCTGGTAAATGTGACACCTGGAAACAAGTTGTGTCCAGCCTTCTCTAAACCACACGGGTGAACCCAGCCCAGCCCCGGCCAGCTCCAGCGCGGCTCCCTCAGCTAGCAAAGCCAAGGACACCCCGCCGTCACCGCCCCAGGCCAGCCCAACCCACCAGAGAACTCCAAAGGTTTCTGCAGAACTGGTCACCCTGCACCAAGTGGTGACACCCACTCAGTCGGGCTCACCCAAACCCCAGAGTGATTCCAAGCTCGGATTCTCCCAAAGCTGAGAGTATTTCAGAGATACTCAGTGAGGCTTCCTGCTGCTTCCCACCGGCCAAGTCCCTCTCCAGCCCAGGGCTGCCCTACTTCCTGGATGCCTCTCAGAGTGACGGTGGAGACCCTGAAGAAACCCATCAGGAGGCCATGAACCAACATCATGGGGCAGAGCCAGCATTTGATCCTTAATGAGACAGGATGGAGGAGAAAAGCACCCCTCCTGGCACACGCGATGGGGCGGAGGGGGGGTAAGGTACCTCCGTGTCACACAGGGTATTCTCAGGCCGCCCACCCAAACATTCAGGAGTGCCCCCAGGCACCTGATGGATGCCACCTGCTGACAGGCTGGCGCCCACTGGGCCTTCACCTGCAGGAGTGCTGCGGGCAGATACACAGGAAAGGGCAGCCCCCCCAGCCCCCAGTGTCCCCTCTGGGACATCACACACAGAGGCGCATGAGAGCCCAGGGTTATCCACATGGCTCTGCCTGCAGGCCGTTTTCCACGAGCTTTCTGCCCCATTGCTTTCACTCTAAACCATTAACTGGTGCTGTCTGTAGTGAATTTTCCCTCATGTGAATTACCCTGGTGCCCTTGGCCGCACTGCGTGCTGGCCGGTGACTTGCTGAACTCATCCCTCAGATGCGAACGATGCCCATTGCTGCAGGGGTCGACGAGGGTCAGATGAGATACAAAAGCCTGTTATGATTTTTTTTTAATGTATTTATTTTTGGCTGCGTTGGGTCTTCATTGCTGCCCGTGGGCTTTCTCTAGTTGCCGCGAGCCAGGGCAGCTCTTCGTTGTGGTGCACGGGCTTCTCATTGCGGTGGCTTCTCTTGTTGTGGAGCATGGGCTCTAGGCGCACAGCCTTCAGTAGTTGCGGCACATGCGCTCAGTAGTTGTGACTCGCGGACTATAGAGTACAGGCTCAGTAGTTGTGGCGCGCGGGCTTAGTTGCTCCGCGGCATGTGGGATCTTCCTGGACCAGGGCTCGAACCCTTGTCCCTTGCATTGTCAAGCAGATTCTTAACCACTGAGCCACCAGGAAGCTCCTCTGCTGCTTTTTAATGTACAATCTGGCCAATTTTTGAAGATGTTTCCTGGGCTCGAGTTAAGCCATTTGTAGGGTGCGAAGTACCTCATTCTCTTCCGTCATCATATCTGCTCTAATTCCTGACATTTACTTCCACTTTCTTTCCATGGTGCCTTACTTGTTATTGCACTGCTCTGCATTCTCCTCCTTGAAGCTATTCTCTGTCTTTCCTCTCTTCCACTAACTTCTACTTTGCTTTTCATAGAGCGTGACCTCTGGGCCCATTTCAGGCAGATCTCAGGCTCTGTACTAAATCAGTTAACAGAGGTTAGAATCCCAGCTTTCTCCAGGGATGCTGGCTTTCCTATGTGTATCTGGGGCTCCCTTCATGGGCAATCGACCACCAAATTGAATATTAGATTTATGAAAGCTGAGAGAATGATTGAGTACAGTGTCAGATATTGTGTCAGGAACCTTGTTGAAACTTATTTTGATTAATCATCATGACAGCCCTTGGATAGGAAGTATCTCCTTTTTATTTATGTATTTATGTATGTATTTAGTGGCCGCACTACATGGCTTGTGGGATGGCCCGTTGGGGCTGGAATCCGTGCCCCCTGCATTGGAAGCGCAGTCTTAACCACTGGACCACCAGGGAAGTCCCAGAAGTATCTCCTTTTGATAAAGGAGGAAACCAAGGCTCAGAGCTAAGCTCTGTGAGCTGGGCTGTGTTGAGCTGAGGTTGCCAGATGCCTGTCAGAAAAACATCACGACACTGGAAGGGTGTGTGTGAGTGTGCATGCATGCACATACGTGTGAAAGTACTATTTCATTAAACACTTTTTTTTGCTGGTTTTAACTGACAATTTATATTTAGTATGATCTAGCTATATTTTTGATCTTTCGGCAAAAGTGCTTTACTTCAGAACAATTAGATGGAATGTGCAAATCTTCTGTTTTCATAACGTTTGTTTTCTATTACCAAGCAGAAAGTTAACTGCACGACTGGCTTTTTCAATAACAGACCCCAGGTGCCCTGCATGGAGCCGAGATCTGGTCACAGGTCCCTGCCCCAAACTCTGTCCTCTCCCTAAAACCACAGGTTTCTGCTACTCTAATATCCTCAAAATGGATCGAAGGGTCTTAAGCTACTGATACCTGTTCCTGATGGTTTTTTCTTGGGGGGGGGGCGGGGGTGGGTTGAGAATGAGGTAGGGATTGAAGTAGAGAAAGGAAGGGGGAGGGGAGAAACCAGGGACAGTCGGCACCTTCCTCTAGAGCAGACTCTTTCCCTTCACCACACGCGCCACTCACGTCCTCTGAGCTGTGTAGTTACCCAACCGCACGCATCCATGCGTTCAGTTCAGTATATCGTTTAAAGAATTAATTGAAAACGTTTAGATTTTACGTGAGCAAATGCATGATAAGTTTATACTGGGAAAGAAGCTAAAACATCTCTGAACTTACTTGGCTCTCTGAAAATCTTCCAGCAGAATATTATTATTTTATGAGTGAATTAAATGTACGAAATATAAAACTACATTTATATGCTAATTACATATAAATAGCAATGAAATTTATAAACTGAGAGAATTGTCTGAGTAGTAAAACATTTTTGTTAAGACTACTAAATTAAATATTTAAATTAAACATATTTCTACTTAATACAAAATAATAAATGTTCACTATTATGGATTTCAGTTTATGCCAAAAATATTTTCAAACATTTAAAACTAGCAAATGCTACAGTGTTTTCATACTAAATGTTTAACATTTCAAGGCATAATAAATTAATCTGTTTCTTAATATAAACTATTGCACAATATTCTGGAATTAAATACTTTTTGTAACAGAAAAATTATTCCTACAAAGATTACAGGACCAAATAGTGAAAAAGCTTTTGGGTGAGTTATTTCCAGTTAAGAGTCTAAACCGTAGATTTCAACAGAAGTAGTGCCAGTAGAGGCTCACACGCGGGTGGTGACGTCGGCCGAGGGTGGGAAGGAAGTGGCCTGTTCCGAGACCCTGGGACTTCCCAGGCCAGCGAGGCGCAGCGGCGCAAAGCCCATGCGCCTGGCGTCCCAGAGGGATGCAAGAAACAAAACCCAACACTGGCACCATCTACGCAGCAGCGACGTCAAATCTGTTCTAAGATGGATCATTTCGTGAGAATCTATGTTAACAAACTGTAACAGGAGCCTTATAACTATAGCTGTTACATAGGTCCTAGCTGCACATCACAGCGGGGTTTATCTGCGCTCCGCGGGCGCTGAGGCAGATGGAGGTGCTACTGGACCTGCAGTGCAAAATAAAGATAAGACTTTAAGGGCAAAGAGACAAAAGATGGCGCGTTTTATAAATTAAAAAATTGAACCTATTAATTTTATCTAAAAGAAAACATGTACCTCTGTACCTATTTATAGGGATTGTTACTGAAGTCTACACAAAAGTCTAGTACACGGTCCTACCCGCAGCCACAAATCGCACGTCGGAAACATCAGCCTCCAACTTGCAGGCGGCTGGTGATCGCTGAGTCAAGCCTGCAAGTGCCGGGAAGGTTCTGCTGACACAGGAGGGCGGAGCTGAACGCGCAGTGGGGCGCGGCCTGGGCAGGGGGGCGGCTCAGCTCCACCGGGCTGTTGCGGCCCCAGGGGATGCTGCCTGGCCCCCACCGTGCACCCCGATACCGCACCCTGCGCACCCGCGTTAACGGTGCCACTCATCTAAAAGGCCAGCTAGCTATCTGGCGTGTCAGAAACACCTCGAGCGGCTGCAAAAATTGCAGTGAAAAATGACAATCCTGCGACAGGTGGAGGGAAAACACACTAAAGAAGCCTTGATGAGGTCCGGACACTTGCAGCGGCCGGCTCGGGTCGGAAAAGGCAAGCTCCGGTGGGCGATTGCTGTTCATCACGTTAAAATCCAGGATGGACAGAGGAGGAGGAACGGGAGACAGAGGGCAGCGAGTGGCCGAGGTCAGCCCCAGCGCGCCGCGGCCGGATCTGAAGTTCTGGGGAGGGCGGGGCGGCACCCGGGCAGTGACACCTCGGCGACCCAGAACATGCGCAGAGGCAGGTCTGCTCAGCCAAACGGTGATTCTTCCAGGTTACAGGGGCTTTACCAAGCCTACTTGGTCTTCCACTAATTTTGAACTGTTAAAAATTTCCTCTGAGATTAAGAGGGTCTTGCTGCTAATTTAAACACGTGGATTATATAGCACTGCAGTGATTTATTTCCCAGTAGAAAGTGTATCACCTTAATGTCCAACGACAGTTCCTTGACCAGATCAGATATTTTGGTGGTGGTGAGGTAAATTCTATCTACTTAAGACCATGCAGAAAAACAATACTAAAAACCCTCAGAGACCCTGTGCAGGTGGGTCTCTGTGCCTGGGGCATCTGTATTTATTTATGTATTTATATTTTTTTAACATCTTTATTGGAGTATAATTGCTTTACAATGTTGTGTTAGTTTCTGCTGTATAACAAAGTGAATCAGCTATACATATACATATATCCCCATATCCCCTCCCTCTTGCGTCTCCCTCCCTCCCACCCTCCCTATCCCACCCCTCTAGGTGGTCACAAAGCACCAAGCTGATCTCCCTGTGCTATGCGGCTGCTTCCCGCTAGCTATCTATTTTACATTTGGTAGTGTATACAGGGGCACCTGTATTTAAATTAGAGGCCTCTCCTGGCCTTTCACTTCTTTACCATTATTTAAACCCACATTTCTCACGTAGTGTCTAATAAAATGTATGCCTCTGAAGTAAACTGAAATATGCTTTATCTTGTGTGATATGCATAAAAGAATAATTCTGTTGTAATAATGTAAGTGGTCCTTCTTTTGCTGTCCCCAAACTGTGTTTCTAGAAGTCTGACTTTTTTTTTCTTTTCTTTTTTTTTTTTTGGCCCCTCTGCGCAGCATGCCGATCTTAGTTCCCTGACCAGGGATGGAACTCGTGCCCCCTGCAATGGAAGCGCGGAGTCTTAACCACTGGACCGCCAGGGAAGTCCTAGAACTCTGACTTTTTAAAGACATAGATGTCACCAGCTTTTGTAGTTAGAACACGGGTGGTTTGGAGAGGGACCTCACAGGCTTCTGAGATGCATCATCGTCAGATTGAAGAACTATGTCCATCAATTGTTTTTGTGTCTGAGACACTTTTTATACTTGGTTGCAGGTCAGTTTCTCCATAAATACTCACTTGGAGGAGAAGACTCTGTAATAAAGGACAAGTGCATTAGTTGTTCAATTTAATAAAAGAGGCTAATTTTAAAAGAATTACTCTCAATAATTCCTTAAAAATCAGTAAAAGTTTGTATGACTTAAAATGGCATCATGATGACAATGGAGAGAGGGTATCATTAAGACACTGGCCAGGCCAGTGTGGTGCCCACTGGCCTGGAAGACGGGCAGAGCTCATGTTTACAAAACATCACATAAAACACTTGAGATGCTTGAAGAGACACAACACAGCTCCTTCCTCCTTAATCAGAGAAATGAAGCCTCGGAGTGAAAATAAGTTTCCTAAAGGCAAATGGTCAATAAGTTCTAGAGCTACAGAAACTAAATATCACACTCGATAGACCTTAGGATGGACATGGCCCAAAATGAGACTAATTGTCCCTGTGACAGTGATTGTTGAAAATCAAACTAATAAACTTTTTTGAACAGCTAATTTCAGGGAAATGTCTAAGCTATTCAAAGTTTAATGACAAAGTTTAAGAAATGCTGATAATGGAACAAATTCAAGCTTGAACTGTGAGTTATTTTCAAGAACTGGGGCTTTATCTGAAGCTGCCTCAGAGAGGACCAAGCATTGCAGGGATCAGAATCTTTTGGACCCAGGAGACTAAAACTGATATCATGTGTGTGGTACAACACATAAAGCATCAGAATTTTTGACAACTAAAAGAAAATGCAAAGCCACAGAAATAATGACTTTTGCTATTCATCTGAATAAAGAGGAAAGAAGCACAATATATATTATCCTCATGTGTAACTGTAACCTCAATAACTCTGTAGGTTTTTTATGCGGTTTTTAGATCACTCATTATGATATAGGTAATGAGACAAGGGGTCTCAGGGGCCGTGCACTTCACCTGGGCCTTCCTTGGCGCCTTCCGGAGCCTCCGGGTCTGGGGGCGGCTCGGCGTCCCACGGAGACTGGGACAGAGACGAAGCAGAGGCCCTGGATGTCTGCGGGGTCCTCTTGTCTGGGTCTGCTTGCTGCTGTAACCGCTCAGCGTTACATCCATTGCTAATAAGTTTGGAAAAGTTTGTGGGTGAACTGGTTCTTTGACCAGGCCTCAAAAAGAGAAAAATTAAGTACTTAAGTACAAAGGTGAAGGGTAATCCAGAAGCGTTCTCAGCGAACATACTGATGGTAAATTAGATGCGTTACTGTCCCTGAAGACACAACAGAGATGCTTCTCCCTCTCTCCCTCTCTCTTTCTCAATCTCTCTCCACTTTTAAGCATAAGGAAGTAACCTCCAAGCATCCTTGTACACACAGTGAGCGCATACTTAGTTCAGTTTCCAAAACCTTTCTTCAGAACAGCCAATGAGAAGAAGAATTCCAGCATTTCCCAGGGATGCCTTCTTCTGAAAGAACTGCCCCTTCCCTGGGGAGGGATGAGTGACTCAGACTCTACCACTTTCAAACAAATTGTTACTTTCTTAATTAGTTCTTCCCTGTTCATGTTAAAGATTATCTGCTGCTTCTTTACACACTTCTGTCTTCTCTCTGTCATTTACATCTTTGCAGACGTTATCATAACCTCCATTAGGAGGGGCGGGGAGATCAGATGTAAAACAGGTGACACATATCACCTGTGCCCTCCGACCCTTGGGTTTCTTACTTGTAAATCACTCTGTTGTCAGGAGTCTTCCTAATGGCTCTGGCGGGCTCTCTCTCTCTCTCTCTCTCTCTCTATATATATATATAGATAGATAGATAGATAGATAGATAGATATAGATATAGATAGATATAGATAGATAGGTAGATATAGAAATATAGGTGGATATAGATAGAAAGACATAGAGGTATACAGATATAGATAGATAGATAGATAGATTATGGATGATAGATAGATATAATTTTTTTGCCCTCCCAGTCTGAGTGTGGTGCTTTCATGGCGTTTGTCACACAATGTAACTGATTGATTGCTCCTCCCCCAGCCTCACTAGAGGAGAAGCAATTGTAAGAAGTAGTCAGACAATTAACGGCATTAATTCTAGCACTACAGTGAGATTCTGGGGAAGGGAAGAGAAGCAGAAGGCCTCGGGGACCCCCGCTCCAGCTGGGCGAGTAATGAAGTGTCAGACGTTCCAGCTGAATGCAGAGCCAAGGACTCACTAGGCGCGGACACCAGGGCCCAGGCCTTGGGGACAGAGAATGTCAGGGCTGAGTAGCACACACATGCGGCCCCAAGTTTATGGGGTGAGCTTGGGTGACACAGGCTGACAGAGGAGAGAGCTCAGCTCAGCGCTCAGGGCGGGGGAGGATGGGGTCCACAGGGGCCCGGGGGGCACCCAGAGGGAAGGGAAAATGGAAGAGCAGGCCAGTCGACAGGGCCAGGCCATGGGAAGTTGTGCCATTGAAGTCACATCACCACAACCTGCTGCTGGGAAGCGAATACCGTTAGGCCGGCATCAGCATCGTGTATTGGAGCCATGGTTGTCACTGTTGTCACTTGGACCAAAGGCCAAACCCAAACCGAATCCAGACCACGCTGGCGCAGCCTGTGCACTTACATGGGGGGAAAGGACAGTTTGCTTCCTGCAGGGTCTTTGGGGCCAAGCGGGGTCCCGGCTTTGCTCGGATACTTGGACTTGATGGCTGGTAGCCTCACCTGTACAGAGAGACACACGAAACCCTGACTTAGAAGGGTTTGCTCACTGCACTTTCTCAGCCCCTGCATGGCTCTGTCAGTGGTTTGGCGGCAGTACAGCGTCCAGCCTTTTATAGGGCATGGACACCGTGACCCTGGTTAGCATCCGAAGCCTCTGTTTATTGCTGGGAAGTGTCGCCAGGAGCAGCCCGTTCCCTGAACATGCCAACCCCCCAGAGCCAGGCTCAGGGCTGCGACAGGGTGTCTTGAGGACAGACAGTCGGCCTGCTGCACGCAGCTGACACTGCACAGTGCTCAACTCTGCGAGCCCCGGAATAAACTTCCAGGGTTTCTCTTCCAAGCAGACACTGCGAAGCGGGCTGGGGTCAGGCGAGGAACCTGCCAGCCAGCGAGGCCGCTCCCCTGTCGTGCGGGGGGAGGGCGGCCAACCTTGCTCATCGTCAGGACCCACTGCCGGTTTTAACATGAACGTCACCAGTTCACCCACAGATCCCCATGTCCCAGGAGCCACGCCAGCCCCGTGAACCGAGACACCGCCACCAGGAAGCCACTGACCCGAGATGGCCTTCACAGGGTGCCTTTGAAACAGAAATGCCTTGAAAGTGTGTGCCCTGCAGTCGGTGCTCCTTCAAGGTCAAACACAAATACCCAGGGTTTGCACAGAAGAAAAGCAGCGTCTCCTCTTCCCTTCTTGTCCGTACAGAGTATTCCGGGGAATTTTAACTTAAACCCTTAAACAGAACGGGCTTGTTCAGAAACTGGATAATGTCCTTTCTATCTGGGCAGATGAGAAGTGACGGCCAACTTTCCCAGAGATGAGTGTCAGCTGGTTAAAACACACTCAGTAAAAGGCAATCTTCCCTCAAGGGTCGCATTCATAAGGAGAAGAAAGAAGCTAATTTCCCATGGCCTCTGGCCTTTCAGCAGATCGAACTTAAGATGCAGATCCCGGGGCCACGAGACACACCCTGCCGACAAGCACATCGCCGGACGTGCTCCGGGCGGCAAGCAAAGCCATGCCATCTAGTGGGGCTCCAGTCACCTTTCTTTTCTCCTTTACCAGTTCCTCTGCCTCTCTTTGCCAAACCGTCTTCATGTCAAAGTCGAAGGGCCCCCTTCTGGACTCGTAGTTGCCACTGGCGTGATCGGGGTTAGACTCTTCATAAACCATGTAATCCGGTATGGACACAGCGGGGACCCTGCAGAAACGGACGGAAGGGCCCCCGGCCCGCGGCTTAGGGCCACCTCCTGACCTCCCCTCCCTGCCTCCCTCCTTCCCCCTCCCCCCGCCCCAGCACCTAGCTCTGACCTTCTCCAGTCCCCGCCCACCCACACCCCCCTCACTTTCTGGGCTCCTGGCTCTGCTAGGATAAAGTCCAGGCCCTTAGCAGAGCGGGAGGGGGAGAGGGAGGGGAGGGGAGGGGAGAGGAAGGGAAGGGGAGGGGAGAGGAAGAGGAGGGGAGGGGAGAGGGAAGGGAGGGGAGAGGGAGGGGCCCTCCGGGATGCAGCGGCGGGGAGAAGCTGGGCAACCAGCCGACCCCCAGCAAGGACGGGACGGAAGAGGGCGCCCAGCCTCCCGGAGACAGTGGGCTGCAGGGTAGGCGGCGGGCGGAGAGGCCGAGCGCGGAGGTCAGAGGCTGGGAACGCAGGCCTGGGCGGGGCCGCAACGCGGGGGTCTGGATACTCACTGCCTCCGGTCGGCCGTCGGCGGCTGGCTGTGGTGGACGTACCAGTCTGGCAAGGAGTAGGCCACGGGGGAGCCCTTACTGGTCCCGGGGGCAGAGTGCTTCAAAAGGTCTCGAGGCCAAAAAGACACGGCTGTGAGCGGCCTGCGCATTACCAGCGGGCAGGTCGCAGCGACGAGGGGACCGGCTCTCCTACTGGACTCCATTGGGCCGGGGGACAGCACGCCGGGGTGTCCGCGGTGTCCTCACCCGCCAGTGCTCGTGCTGCCTGGTGCCCAGAGGACATCCCTCCTGTACCCCTGCCCCGCCGCAGGCCACCTCCTCCCTGTCTCTGGGGGGGAGGGGTCGGGGTCCTTGCCCCAGGGCGGTATCTGCGGGGACAGAACTCCTCGGGCCCCCCGGGGGGCTGCGCCCTGGCTCCTCTCTCTGGCCAGGACAGTCTGTTCTCCACCCCCCACGCGGCAGTTCTGGGGTGAGCCGCCCCCTCCAGGTTTCCGGTGGGAAGCGGGGCACCGGCCCCTCTAAATCCTGGGGGCAGGGGGAGTGTTAACCGGTGCCCCGCTTGGAGCCAGGCTGAGAGGGTCAGAGACGCGCTCAGGCTCTAGCTCCCGCCGACCCCCCGACTTGCTGCCAGGTGTTCGTCCCCCTCCCCCGGCTTGAGGGCTTTTCCCAGGCAGGGGTCAGTCAGGCGGGGAAGCGGGAGCGACTGGTCTTGCCTGCTAAGCGGGCGCGACGGCCAGCATCGACTGTTCGACTGTTCTTACTATTAGAAAGACATGTTTAACTTTTTTCTTTTTTGAACTTTCCATTTTTAAATATTTCAGACTTAGACAAAAGGTCCAAAAAATGGCATGAATTCCCCCAAACCCTTCACCCAGATTCCTCAAATGCTGCGTTTCGTTTCCCATTTGCTTTATTGCTCTTTCTCTCTCTCCCCCCCCCACCCATTAGTATTGTCACTGTCATTGCTGTTTGGGGGACCGTTTGGGAGGCTTCCAGAGACAGTTATGACATAATCACAGTGTAGTGATCAGAATCAGGAAATTAGTGTGATGCAATCCTTTTATCCAGTTTACAGATCTTGTTCAGATTCTGCCAGCAGTCCCACTAATGTCCTAACTGGTGGCTGGGGAGTGGGGAGGTGGTGGACCTTCTGTGCTTTACACGCAGTGAATCACATGGTCTGTTCCGGGCTTTTGACCATTAAAGAAAGGTGCTGCCCTCTGCCATGTTGCCCACTCTCCCCGTGACAATCTCCACAGCAGGAACAGGTGTCAGAAAGAGAGAGAGAAAGGTCAGCGTTTCTCAGGCTCGTTCACCACAAAGGCCAGCCAGAAGGTGTGCTAGATAGATGTGACTCCTAACTTGACCAGCAACTTTAATTAGCACAGCTGAACAGGGCTTTCTCGGTTACATCATGGATAAAAGTGTGGTGTTCATAAACATCACCATGGACACTCATCCCTGGCCTCCATTACCAAGAAGATATTAATACACAGGATGAGGGATGATGAGACAGAGCAACAGGAGCAAAGATGCTTCACAGGCGACTGGGGAAGGGGTGGCCCTGAGCTGGGCGACTGCAGTGCAGAGACAGAGACTGCAGTTAGACAGGGAGGTAGGCACGGGAGTCACCACAGGGGTGTCACTCAGAAGGAAAATCCCAGTTCGGTGAACTCACAGCCTAGTGGGTCTTTCCCATAAACGGCAGCACGCCCCTGAAGAGTCTGCACCCTGAACTGTGTCCATTGACCTGGACATCCTACGGCCTTGGGCAAAGCTCATACACTTCACATATTTTTACAGGGAAGACACAATGATCAGACGACCGTGTCACTCCCGCCACAAAGCACAAGGCTGCGGTGCTCACCGGGCTGGCCACCTTGCTTCGCCAGCTTCACGTACTCTGAGTCCGTTTCCTTCACCCAGTACCTTCGTGCCCCGAGCATGTGCCCACTGGGGGCTGCCCTCAGGTCACTGAGGCCTGGGATCTGGGACGTTGGCGGGGCATCCACGGCTTTCTCAGACCGCTTCACAGGAAGGTGGTAATACCAATCTAGGGAAGAGGAGGCCAAGGGTCAGGTCATTACTTACGGAATCCAGGCTGGTTTGGTCCACTGCTCAGAAGATAACTACACCAGGGAGGGTGTCACACCCTCCCAGGACACCAGAAGAGGACATCAACACGGGGCACCAGCACAGGTGAAACTGCCCTCTTGTAAACGCCTGTCACCCGAGGCATAACCCTGCCAGTCGTGTAGTTAACAGTCCCTAAAGGCCACGAGCAGCAGCCACGGCGCCCAGCAGATGACGAGCACCTTCTAGAAGGCCTGCTGGCCCCTCTGCTGCTGGCTGCCCCTCTGTCCCAAAGCAGTGAGAGCAGAGCCCTTCCCTGGGGTTTTTAGCCTCCCAGTGAGGTATCCAAATCCCCTACATGTGCAGCTCTCTCTCTCTTCTCCTTCAATCCTCCATGAATTGGGACTAGACTGCATTTCCGGGAGTACGCATTCCTGAAAGATCCCAAAGCACTTAAAACGTGGGCAAGCCTCTGGACTATGTGACCAAATGTTACCCAAGATTTGATCAACTTAGAACTTTAAAAACACTGAGATATCTTGATAAAAACTCTTACCAAAGTGGGCACAGAGGGACCATATCTCAACATAATAAAAGCTATTTATGACAAACCCACAGCCAGCATGATACTCAATGGTAAAAAGCTGAAAGCCTTCCCACTAAACTCTGGAAAAAGACAAGGATGCCCACTCTCACCACTTCTATTCAACATAGTATTAGAAGTCCTAGCCACAGCAATCAGACAAGAAAAAGAAATTAAAAGTTTTCAAATTGGTAGGGAAGAGGAAAAATTGTCATTATATGCAGATGAAATGATACTATATGTAGAAAACCCTAAAGACTCCACACAAAAACTACTAGAACTGATATATGAATTCAACCAGGTAGCAGGATACAAGATTACAGAAATCTGTTGCATTTCTTTACAGTAACAATGAAATATCAGAAAGGGAAAGTAAAAAAAAAAAAAAATCCCTTCTAAAATCACATCTAAAAGACAAAAAAAAAAAAAAATACTTAGGAATAAACCTGACCAAGGAGGCAAAAGACTTATATGCTGAGAACTATAAAACATTGATAAAGAAAACTGAAGATGATTCAGAGAAATGGAAAGATATCCCATGCTCTTGGGTTGGAAAAATTAATACAGTAAGTTCCCTACATACAAACCTTTAAGTTACACACTTTCAAAGATGTGAACATGCATCTGGTTCCAGCAAGGAACCAGAACCTGTGCCATCAACATCAGGCATGAGTGAAATTGCAGCTTGCCCTCCAACTCCTATTGCTCATGATCCTTCAGCTCTACCATCTCCCACCTCCTCTCCATCCTCCAGTCAGTAATTCTTCTTGCCTGTTAACTGGATGCCAGCCCCTGGATGCCAGCTGTTGTACTGTACTTTTCAAGGTACTGTACTGTATGATTAAAAATATTTTCTTTACTTATTGTTTGTTTTTTATGTATTATTTGTGTTAAAAGTATTATAAACCTATTACAATACAGTACTATATAGCCGATTGTGTAATTTGGGTACGTAGGCGAACTTTGTTGGACTTATGAACAAATTGGACTCTCAGAACGGAACTTGTTTGTATGTAGGGGACTTACTGTATTGTTAAAATGGCCATACTACCCAAAGTAATCTACAGCTTTAACATGATGCCTATCAAATTACCCATGACATTTTTCACAGAACTAGGACAAATAATCCTAAAATTTATATAGGACCACAAAAGACCCAGAATTGCCAAAGCAATCCTGAGGAAAAAGAAAAAGCTGGAGACATAACTGTTCCAGACTTCAGACAAAACTACAAAGCTACAGTAATCAAAACAGTGTGGTATTGGCACAAAAACAGACCTACAGATCAGTGGAACAGAATAAAGAGCCCAGAAATAAACCCACACACCTAGGGTCAATTAATCTGTGACAAAGGAGGCAAGAATAAACAACGAGGAAAAGACAGTCTCTTTAGCAAGTGGTGTTGGGAAAGTTGGACAGCCACATGTAAATCAATGAAGTTAGAACACTCCCTCTCTCACACACAAAAATAAACTCAAAATGGCTTAAAGACTTAAATATAAGACATGATGCCATAAAACTCCTAGAAGAGAACATAGGCAAAACTTTCTCTGACATAAATCGTAGCAACATTTTCTTAGGTCAGTCTCCCAAGGCAATAGAAATAAAAGCAAAAATAAACAAGCGGGACCTAATCAAACTTACAAGCTTTTGAACAGAAAAGGAAATCTAAGCAAAACGAAAAGACAACCTATGGACTGGGAGAAAATATTTGCAAACTATGTGATGGACAAGGGCTTAATGTCCAAAATATACAAACAGCTCATACAACTCAATAACAAAAATCTAAACAATCCAATCAAAACATGGGCAGAAAACCTAAATAAACATTTAGAAGACACGCAGGTGGCCAATAGGCAAATGAAAAGATGCTCAACATCACTAATTATTAGAGAAATGCAAATCAAAACTACAATGAGTTATCACCTCACAACAGTCAGAATAGCCATCATCAAAAAGTCTACAAATAATAAATGCTGGGGACTGCCCTCGTGGTGCAGTGGTTAAGAATCCACCTGTCAGTGCAGGGGACACGGGTTCAAGCCCTGGTCCAGGAAGATCCCACAACTAAGCCAATGTGCCACAACTATTGAGCCTGTGTTCTAGAGCCCGCAAGCCACAACTACTGAGCCCTCGTGCCACAACTACTGAAGCCGCGCTCTGCAAAAAGAGAAGCCACTGCAATGAGAAGCCCGCACACCACGAAGAGTAGCCTCTGCTCAACGCAACTAGAGAAAGCCCATGCACAGCAACAAAGACCCAACGCAGCCAAAAATTTATTAATTAATTATTTTAAAAAATAATAAATGCTGGAGAGGGTGTGGAGAAAAGGGAACCCATCTACACTGTTGGTGGGAATGTATATTGGTGTAGCCACTATGGAGAACACTATGGAGTTTCCTTAAAAGAATTAAAATAGAGCTACCATATGATCCTGCAATCCCACTCTTGGGCATGTATCCGGAAAAGATGAAAACTCTAATTCAAAAAGATACAGGCACCCCTATGTTCATAAGCAGCACTATTTACAATAGCCAGGACATGGAAGCAACCTAAATGTCCATCAACAGATGAATGAATAAAGAAGATGTGGCACATATATACAATGGAATATTACTCAGCCATAAAAAAGAATGAAATAGTGCCATCTGCAGCAACACGGATGGACCTAGAGATCATCATACTGAGTGAAGTAAGTCAGAGTCAGACAGAGAAAGACAAACACCACATATATCACTTATATGTGGAATCTAAAAAAAAGATACAAATTAGCTTATTTACAAAACAGAAATAGACTCACAAACATAGAAAACAAACTTATGGTTACCAAAAAGGAAAGGTGGGTGGGAGGGATAAATTAGGCGGTTGAGATTCACATATATACATTACTATATATAAAATAGATAATCTATAATGACTTGTATAGCCCAGGGAACTCTACTAAATATCTACCTATAATGGAAAAGAATATGAAAAAGAATAGATATATATGTATAAGTGAATCACTTTGCTGTACACCAGAAACTAACACAATATTGTGGATCAACTATACTCCAATTGGAAAAACAAACAAACAAACACTGAACCAGAAGTAAGAGCCTAACTGAACAGGTTTGCTAATTTGACAGGAGCAGAAAGATGCAGGACTCCGTGCCGCCATCAGGGAGGCTTCACTGGCAAACAGTGTTATCTGAACCCCACCGCTTTCCTTTTGCTTGAGGCCAAAGCGGGACATCCGGAGTCGTCAGACAGGAAGGGAGAGCAGCACTCAGGAGGGTGGCTGAACGGGGCGGGGCAGGAGGGGCGGGGCTTTGTCCCGGGCATCCTCATGCTGTGGGAAGCGTCTGGGGCCGCAGATTGGCAGGGGTGGGCTGCGTGTGGCTTCCATGGAAACATCAAGTCTGGTCCCACAAGGGTGAAGCGCGGTGAGTGTAGATAAAGGTGTGGGATTTCTAGGGGAGAGGGTCCCGTGAAGAGGAGGGTGGGAGGACAAACGGGGGTGGTGAATGAAGGCAAGCTTGCTCCCTGCCCTCCGTCCCCATCGATCTGAATCCCCCGCCCCACCCAGAATGGCCACGGGGTGGGGGGCGGTGTGTGTGTGAGCTGAACTGGCCTTGTCAGAGCCCTGAGGCCCCCTCAGTGGGCACCCAAGTCACAGCCCTGCAGGCTGCTTTGTGACCACCTGTGAGGGTCCCTGCCAGGAGCGAGAGGTGTGGGCAGAAGCCCAGGGACCTGTCGTGATCAGGCCCACTTGTGGCTCCACAGAGAGAAGACCCTGGGACACTCGGGCTCTTGGTGTTCTGGTGACTCTTTGTGTCAGAGACTGATTAACCGCATGTCCAAATATAAGAACAAATATCACAGCTGATTGAAAACTTTGGACACAAAATCCAGGAGTGTGAAATAAGAAAGATGCCACTATCATAGCACAAGTAACTCTTGCATTTACGAGCTTACTGGAACCAGCTGTCAAAACTGCATGGCGTTCAGGGAATTCCCTGGCAGTCCAGTGGTTAGGACTCTGAACTCTCATTGACGAGGGCCCAGGTTCAATCCCTGGTCGGGGAACTAAAATCCCACAAGCTGTGTGTCGTGGCCAAAAAAAAAAAAAAAAAAAAACATGGCATTCAGGGTCTAACATAGGACTGGCTCCTGGCAGGTGTGATGGGTAATTTTATGTGTCGCCTTAGCTAGGCCACAGTTCCCAGATGTTTAGTCTGGCACGTTACTGTGAAGGTGCGTTTTAGAGGAGATTAACAGTCAAATCAATAGACTCTGGCTAAAGCAGGTAAGTCTCCCTAACGTCGGTGGGCCTGATGCCATCAGTGCAAGGATTTAGGAGAAAAGACTGAGGTCTCCTGAGGAGGAAGGAATTCGGCCCCCAGACAGCCTTTGGACTCAGGACTGCAGCATCAGCCCTTCCCTGGGTCTCCGGCCTGCAGATTTTGGACCTGCCTGCTACACAACTGTGTGAGCCAATTCCTTAAAATAAATGAATCTCCCAGTCAATCTCCCTCCCTCTCTCTCTCTCTCTCTCTCTCTCTCTCCACACACACACACACACACACATCGTTGGGCTACGGAGAACCCTGACTGGTACGGTAGGAGCACAGGAAAGCGGTGCTGAATAGATCCCTTTACACAAGCACACATGGATCCCAGGAACAAGAAGTCACCGTCCTCTGAAGCTAAAAGTTAGCCACCCAGTCTGTACTTGGAACTAAAGCTACTTCACTGCATAACAATGAGTGTTCATGGGAAATCTTTTATATATCTAAAGAACAGTAATTAAATGAACAGTATAGTGGAAACACCGTAGTTTTGAAAATGAGAAACCACCCCCTGGGAAAGCTTTAAAGAAGTGTGCCCAAGCTCACAAAGAAGAAATTTAAGAGCTAGGAGGATGGGTAGGACCATCTTATCTGATTGTATTCAGCTCAAATATTTTCCTTTAGAGGGAAGGCATTCGGTTCCAGCTTTATTTTTCCTCTCTGTGTTTTGATTACTAATTAATCCACAGAGAACAGAGTAGCTTCTACTTCTCATTACTGGAAGTTTTGGGCGGGCACTGAGCTCTAACCTAGCTGGCTGTTTATCACTGCGTGCCCTGCTCAGAGAGCCAGCACACGAGTCACTGTGAACCAACTGTCACCACACACACACACACACACACACACACACACACACACACAGGGTTAAAGGAACGAGAACTGTCTTGTCCTCAAACATTATCAGTACTTGTATGGCACCAGATCACTTAACTACCATGTAGATTTCTTTACGAGCTCCCTTGCCCCCTCGCGTGCTTGCTTCATCCATAAGGAGCCAGGCTCAGAGAGACCGCAAAGTGACTCAGCCCCACAGCTCTCTGGTGTCTGAGGGCACATCCCACGGGGCTCTGGAGCCCTGCCTTTGGGCCGCCGCGGCCTTGGAGAACAGGGCAGCCTCCTGAAACTCTGAGCCTCGGCTTCCTCACCTATAAATCAGGGCTAAGGGCCCCTCGGCAGGTTGTTCTGAAGTTAAGTGTTAGTGTGACAGTGTTTAGCAGAGCACCTGGCAAGTGTCGCCGTCTTCTGCGCTGCTCACACGGGGAGGCCACACACTAAGGCACTGAGACGTCAGACCCAGGCTGAGAGCCCACCGTGGAGACGGACACCCAGGCCTCCTGTCCCCTGCCCCATTCCCAGCACAGCCACAGACCCACCCATAGTGGCCACAGCAGAGCTCCAGGCAAGAAGCACGTTGAGACTGTGAAGAAGACCACGCTTGGTCCCACTGCCCGCAGCCCCCCCTGCCAGCCCTCACCCTGCCTTTCCCAGCAGAGCTCTGGGGCTCTCTTTTCCTCCCTCCTTCTCCAGCCCTTTTCGAGATGGGGCAGCGTAAAAATCAAGGCAAAATCAGACTCCAGCACCCAGGTGTTCCTCCTTCCCTTCTGCCAGTTTCACAGCGAGAAGCCCAGTGCCGTGGGAGCCTCCACCAGAGGCTTGTTTCCTGTGTCCCACTGCTTAAAGCAGGAGACATAGTTACCCTGGTTGGGGTCTAAATTAGGAGCAAGAGATAGGTGATCAATGAAGTACATGGGGATGCAGCTGAAAATGAAAGTGCCCAAGCCAACATACAGGGAGACCCCTGTGAGACTTACACAGGGTTGCTGTTACAGAGAAATTTTCAGAGACGCTATCGCTCCAAAAACTGAGGAGCTCCAACAGCAGTGGGTAGCCTGGCTTTCTTTTGTTGAACATAGGGAAAAAACAAACAAGCAAACTAACAAACCTAGTTTCCCCCCCCATGCTACCCTTTAAGCCTTGCTTCCACACTGGGGCATAGGGGCAGTGCGCAGCTTTCTCTGAGGGTACCCCTTGTTGTCCTGTCCCCTCCCGGCAGCCCCCGCTGGTGTGAGCCAGTCCAGCCGAGCCAGTCCAGCCGCAGAGCAAACGCGGGTTTCCTCTCCTCGGGTCACTCACCGCAGGGAGCATAGCGGCTCGTGGCGCCGTGCAGCTCCTTGCTCGTGTTCCTCATGCCGGGAGACACGCTGGACCGGCTGTTCCCTGTTCTCGGGTGAACCAGGAACCGACGCGGGGGTTGAGCTGCAGAGGCCGGGTCCCCGTTCCTGCTCTATCTGTCCTCCTCCACCTGACAGGTATGCAGGCGTCTCACTATTCGGGACATGCGGTCAAGTCCAGGCAGGGTATACATCAGGGGCACATCCACACGGGTATACAGCAGGGACACGTCCAGGCAGGGTATACAGCAGGGGCACACACACGCCGAGTAGACAGCAGGGGACAGCAGGTCCCGAGGTACCCCGCCCCCGGCCCGGGTGACAGGTGGCCCCCTCCCTGCCCCGAGCCCACTGGCCGTCTGACCCCGCTCACCTGCCGGCCTAGGGTCTGGGTGATTGCCACCTGCAGCGTCCGAGGCCACTCTGTTCCAGCGGGCGGCTGGGACCAACCCCAAACTCCCAGCGCAGCGCGGAACCACAGCAACCCGCGTCGCCGGGGCAACGGCCTGGGCCAACCGGCGGTCACAGCGGGAGCAGCGGCAGCCAATCGGGACAGTGTGAGGGGCGGCAGCCGGCCAGTCAGCTCCAGGGGCAGAACTCGGGCTCCTACTACCAACTGCCCGGCGCCAGTGCGTCGCCTTGGTGCTGGCCTGGGCGTGGCCGCGCTGCTGGCCTGTTGAGGCCTCAGGGCGTGGCGGGGACGTGACTACGCTGCTGACAGAGGCGTTGCCTCGGTGCTGGCCTGGGCGAGGCCGCGCTGCTGGCGGGGCGAGGCATGGGGCGTGCTGGGGGCGAGGCCGGCCTCAGAGTTCTGGTGCGCCCTCCCCTCCCTGCCGTACAAGAAATTCGACAGAGATTTTCTTGTCAATCTCCCATTCATTTAATGCATTAAAAAAAAAAGAGGACAGGGCTTCCCTGGTGGCGCAGTGGTTAAGAAGCCATCTGCCAATGCAGGGGACACGGGTTCGAGCCCCAGTCCGGGAAGATCCCACATGCCGCGGAGCAACTAAGCACATGCGTCACAACTACTGAGCCTGCGCGCTAGAGCCCGCGAGCCACAACTACTGACGACCGCATGCCTAGGGCCCCTGGTCCACAACAAGAGAAGCCACTGCAATGAGAAGCCCGTGCACCCCAACGAAGAGTAGCCCTGCTCTCTGCAACTAGAGAAAGCCCACGCTGCAACTAGAGAAAGCCCATGCGCAGCAACGAAAACCCAACGCAGCCAAAAATAAATATTAACTAATTATTTTTTACAAAGGACAAATAAGTACCTGGGAAAACTCAGCACACAGCCATTTCTGCCAACTGTGTATCAGTAGTAAAATTACCATGTAAACGTCTTCCACACACTTTATTTTTTCAGTATTTCTGGTTTGGAAATTGAGATATCCTTTAAAAAAAAGGCTTTGGCGGTGTTTCCTCGGAACAGTGTTCAAAGTCCCAACGCTTGACTTCAGTGCGAACTTTTGTCCCACCTGGATTCGGTCTCTGTTGTGAGTCGTGCTCCCCACTCTGCTCCGTGAGCCCAGAGGCCACAGCAGGGACCACGACGTGGTCATCGGACAGAATGATGGAGAGGACTAGCCGCTGGAGACCCTGTGGTTCCCACCACCCGGGCAGTAGTATGGAGCTAAGGTTTTCTTTAGCAGTAAAAAGAAAAATCAAAATGCCTTTAAAGGTGGTCATTTGGCAACTTGAATTAAACAAGGTGCTGCTTCTGCTACACACGTAAAGCCCTAGAAATCTAGCAGAAGACAGGTGATGTACGAATTGGGTAACGAGAGGATAACTCTTGTGATGGGAATTAACCCTAACTGAGGTTTATCCAGCTCTCATGTAATATTTTCAGGATCCTCAGCTGGCCCAGTCTTGGAAGTAATCAAGACTTTGTTTTTCAATGTCAAATGTTTGCTCCACTGCAGGTAGAGGCACGTAGACTGTCACTAAGAATAACAGGGCTTCCTTTTGTATAAGTCACAGCATTGTTTGCCCAGGGATTAGGGTTAGTGAGAGGATGGCGTCTGGGAACCAGGAGTAGGTTCTCACCAGACCTGCTGCAGCCTCCAGAACTGGGAGAAGTGCATTCCTGCTGTTTATAAATCACCCAGTCTGTGGCCTTCATCATGGCCTAAGACAAAGGCTTTGCATCATGTTTAGGATTTCAGGAGGAACTGGCTTTTAGAACTATGTTTGGATCATTCATCTGAACCAGAAGTTCCCATAGCTTTCACAGCTTTGAAACTGTTGCACCTGGAGACTAACAGTTACAACTGCTTGGATAAGTGGTCCCGCACACCTTCTTTACTTGCCTTCCAAGACCTGGGGCTCTGCTGCTTTCACTATAACTCGCAAGCTAATTCTGCAAGCTAGTCTTCATCACTGGATCCTACATCTCTTCCTGGCATCTATATTTTGGAGTGCCATAGACCTCCGTCTTTGGACATCTATCTCTGTGTGCTATCCATACTCACTGGTTATTCAATCTCCTCCAGCTCCCCACCCCCACATGAGATGACTCCCAAATTTTTACTTCCAGCCTCAACACTCCCCAACTTTTAGCAGGGATGGCATATTTCTCTTGCTCCTGGCTCAGCTGGGAACAGCTAATAACTGGGCTGGGAAGGTCCTGAAAAGAAGGGGTCTCAGAGGGCACAGCCAAGCAGGGCTGAGGAAGAGAAGTGTTAATATCGATTATGGCCAATCAGAATTCCTTCTGAACCAAAGAAACTGTAATCTTAAATAAAATAATTGACAAATTATAAAAGCAGGTTGAGTTTATTTGGGAATAGCAGAGGAATTGCAATCTGGGACAAACAAGCTATTGTCGACTGGAAAAAAAAAAAAGCACAACCTAAAAGTCGAAATTTATGTTTTATTCAGTGGACTTGCTGAGGACTTAAGCAGAGAAGACAGCCTCTCAGATCGCTCTGAGGGACTGCTCCAAAAAAGGTAAGGGGGGAGCCAGAATATGTAGGGGTTTTTGCAACAAAGACCAGGTAGTCAGAACATCGAAAGATTACCGTTAATTAAAGAAAACCAGATATCTCAGGTTAATGAATTTAGCGCTTTTGTATGTATCAGAGGATACAAGAGTCTGGGCTCCCTGAAATCATTCCTTTGATGTGCACCTCAGCTGTCTAGGGCCAGTGTCCAGATTTTCTCCATTCTGGATCCCCTCAGGGTGCACAGTGCATGAGACTGCAGTGGCTGATGGCTTTTGAGGGCCACGTGTCCTGTTTACTGACATGGCAGGAGACATTCTTTGTCCACACTGTGGTGAACCATAGGCAAGTCCCAAGAGACAAAGGGAAGGTCAGTTTTCATTAGGTTTTGGGCGGAAATTGGGGAGGGTTGTTTTGAATAAAAGTTCATTAGAAAAGAACAAGAGTTCCAGGTTGTGGCAGTTTCTTGTTGGCTGCAAGTTGTGGTTACTGCATTGTTACTGGGGTGGGGAGGGATCTTCCTTCCCTTAAAATCAGGAGAAGAAATTCCCATGTTGAAGAATGCCCTCCTTGTGCCAGAAGAAAAGTAACATTCTTATTATCATGGATAAGAAGTTGAGACCAAGACAATTCTACACTAACAGACCTTGTTACAGCAATTCTTACCTCCCTCTTTCCTCCCGGCACCTTCATGAGAGCTCCCCCTTCAGGAGTTTTCTGATTCCATTTAAAATGAGGTTTTTCTGACTTGTTTTCATAGAAGAAAGGAAACCCAGTTGCAGGTAGGAGGCTGAAAGGTCTGTGTCACAATACTGCTTTTAAAAATATGTTGGGGGGCTTCCCCGGCGGCGCAGTGGTTGTGAGTCCGCCTGCCAATGCATGGGACACGGGTTCGTGCCCCGGTCCGGGAGGATCCCACATGCCACAGAGCGGCTGGGCCCATGAGCCATGGCCGCTGAGCCTGCGCGTCCGGAGCCTGTGCTCCGCAACGGGAGAGCCCGCAACAGTGAGAGGCCCGCATACCGAAAAAAAAAAAAAAAAAAATATATATATATATATATATATATATATATATATATATGTTGGGGTCTTCTGAAAAATATCAGATTTGGGGTTGTGGTCTCAAGTACCTCCTTATTCCAAATTTATAACAACAATAGACAAAATACAAATAGAAAAAATTTAACAAGTCTGGAAGTCATGGGGTGCCAATAAACACGGAAGATCAGAGATGAGGGTGAAACTAGGAAACTCCCCACTCAAAATAAGTCTGCCATCCCAAACTCTAAGTCACTGAGGAAACAGGCCATGGAAAGATGATGACTAATCAGGAAATGAATGATCTCCAGACAGATTTTATTTTTAATCCAGTTGTTTGAAAAGGGTTTTAAAATGAGTACACACTTAAAGAAATAAGTATACACTTAAAGACACAAATGAAAGAATGATAATGATTTTAAAAATAAATTTCCAAGCAAAAGAAACAAAGAAAAGACAGGTCAACAAGACAAAAAAAAAGCAGAACCCAGGAGAATTTGGGTCTTAATCATGTGGAAAAAAGAAAGCTCAAACTCACTCGTCAGAATGCAAAAGGAAACTATCCTGAGGTACAGTTTTTTAAAAGCTATTCAACTGGCAAAGATAAAAAGGTTGATAAAACACCATGCTGGCGAACAGGAGCAAATCTCATAAATTCCTAGTGGAAACTTAACTGGTAGAGTCTCCGCAGAGGACAAAGGCAACATTTAACAAAATTACAAACACACAGAGACTTTGACCTAGCAGTTCTTCCTCTGGCTGTGCATTCTTGCAGATGTACTCATGCACTCAGAATAACTTCAGCATGTGCTTATTTATTGAACACTGTTTTCAGCATAAAGATGGTCATCAGGGTAAACTGTTCAGTGCACATTCGTACAATGAATTCCTAGGCAGACATGAAAGAATGAGGAAGATCACCTCAAAGTGAGTCAGAAAAACTTCCAAGATATATTTTTTCCTAGTATGAATTAATTTATTATACTTGGCAGATTTCAGAATACATTTTTAAAAGATTAAAGACTCTTTGGAACTTCCATAAACCATTTACTGAGAGAGAAAAGTTACTACCCTAAAATCAAAGCTATTATTTACGTTTCTTCTTTTTTCATCACCACCACCATTATCATGGTCACAAAGATATATCTTTACGTGAAAAAAGCAAGATGCAGAGCATGTTTCCTAGCAAGCTACCATTTACTTTCAACAAAGTGAAGAGGTGAATAGACAGATAGATGGAGAGAGATAGATACACACATATATACACACATATATTTGTACATAAGTATATGTATTTTACATATGTATTTGTACATGCATATCATATCTTTGAAAGAAAATAAAAGAAAATGGTCCCATGGATGCAAGGAGGGTGGAGAACTGATAACTACAAGGCAGAAGTGGGTTAAATAAGGCAACACTTTGCTATGTATCATTTTGTATCTTTTGAATTTGGGACCATTAGGTAAAAAATCAGGAATCTTGGGATTTCTTGGGATAGGTCTATACTTCACAGAGTTAA